TACTCAATTTAGTAAAATGTTAAGTTTCATGGGCTTCCAACTCAATACCAATTTGCAATGAGTGAAGAGACCAATGTACCTTATTTACTACTTAAGTTTCTCTTCCCATCCTAAACAGAGCAAAAAAGATTGGTCTTCTTCAATTTTGTCTAAAAGAGCCACTCCAAAGAACTTTGTTTTTGCTAAAAATTTAAATATTTCATTAGAAAATGAAAATGATTAGGAGTTACAAGAAAATAAATCCTATGTTTTGGTCTCATGGCATAAAAAAGAATAAAAACATGAAAGCAAATAACAATCGGTCCATCGACATCAACAAAAGCTGACGCTCTTGAAATCAATGAAGCGATAAACAATTTGATGAATATCATCGATGTCACCTCAACGAGGAAGATACTTGCTGTCAAACGACGAAGGCCGATTCATTGAAAATCAAGCGAAAGGAAACCTCCAAAGCATAGTTTTACAATGTGGATCTTCCAACTAAACTTCCTGCCAACACGAATGAGACTGACATCTTGGGGATTGCTTATATAATTATAGCATGTTCTTGTTGTTTGTGTTCAGATTTTGAGGAAACAAGGGAGCATCTCCTGCTGAAATGCGATTTTAGTGTCCACATATGGCACTTGGTTAGTCCAGGCTGCGTTTAACGCCATGCATCGTCATACTTCGACTTCTTTTTTGCTTGGATAAAGCTAAAAACAGATTTTGCGTCTCTAATACTGCGGTAGATATTGTTGATTTACACTCAACATTTGCTTGTATTACTTGTTTTAATCTCTTTTTGGTAAGTTTACATTTTATAAGGTTAAGTTTTTTTGTTAAAATAATATATATATATATATATATATATAATTTGTGAGATCGCTTTTGATTGATATCTCTATTAATATGAGCATATGAGTTTGATAGATATTCAAGTCCATAGATGTCCTACAAATGTTTTTGTTTATATATATATATATATATATATATATATATATATATATATATATATATATATATATATATAGATATAGAAGAATAAAACGCAAACATTTAGAAAGAAAGATTTGGAAGAAAAGATCCTATGTATTTTACTACTATCTATATTACAATCGTCTTTCTATATAGAGTTAAAAAATAGTGAGGGTTTTAAAGTTAGGATTGATTAGGTTGTGAATGTAACATAGACTACTCCATTAATGGGCTAAAAGGAGTCAATTAACTTTTTAAGGTGGATCTACTTCTCCGCCTTAAATGTTTCCCTCATGCCGCCTTACAACTATGACGATTTCAACATAGATCACAAGAAGTGAGCAAACTAGAAACCCTAGAAACGCCTTTTCCAACAAGATAAACACAATTAGCCACATGCACGTTATGAGGCTGATTCTTTCGAGGTGTTTTTCACGTCACCTCCACAAAACATCATCACCATTGGCAGCGTACTCAAGAAGAGGAGCGCGAGCTTCGTAGAAAATTCTCCGGTCTGTGAATCCGTGCAGATCTTGAACTATGTTTGATTCCGCTTAACATTTTTTTTCTCTTTCTATTTCTTTGATCAGCTCTGTTCTGCAATCCGCTTAACATGTTTGGGTTTATAAGGTATTTATATTAGTTTTTTAGGGTTTAGAAATTGTGGTATTGGAGAAATTTAGTTCTAGCTTTAATGAGGATTAAATAGTTATTAGCTAGGGTTTAGATTTCGGGATTAACATTTAAATTTTACGATTTAAAATAAAAATTAACCTTTCAAATGAAGAGTATAAACCACATTTATACAAAGTTATACACTATATAAGAAGTTTAGTATCTTACTTTTCTTATTATAACTTTAATTTATTTTTCTTTTTTCTTTTTGGTTATGAGTCTTATGACTATACTTATGTTGTACTTATATTTTTGCATATAAATCTCTAGTTAATTGTTAAAATAGTATGCTATATTAATTGTCATAACCTGATTTGCTATTTTTTACTCAGTATCTCACTATTTAGTTTGAAAACCATATATATGTTTGGTGCAAATTAAAGAATTATTAATATTGTTTAAAATTCATAAATAAGAAATTTTTTTTACCCATATATATATATATACTATGAATTACCCAAACGACATATTGAAAGACCAAGGTTGTCATTTTTTTAACACCTGTAGATTAAAATTCATAGAACTATATTAATTAACGATAAAATAATGTTAAATATAAAGATTGAAATGCCTTTGATTTTTTTCCTTATAAATAATGTCAATTATTTTAATTAAGATACAATAGTTTTTCTTACAAAACATAAAGATAAAATATTTGTCGGCCAATTGAATGTTCTTCTCTCTCTCTCACCTATTCTCACACATAATCTCTAAACTCTCACACCTAAACTCACACATAATCTCTAAACTCTCTTCGTACTTAATTAGGATTATGATTAATTTCGTAGCTTAGTTTGCTTTGGTTAGAACATCTATTAAAAGGAAAGGACGTTCATGGACAGATAGGTTAAGCGATTTACCAGAGTACATATTTGTTGTGTCGGATACTCTTAACCAGGATTCGGTTCGAACGAGCGTTTTGTCTAAGCATCTGTGACAAGTTTAGGTTGAGTTCCGAGGACTTGACAGGATTAAACATATTTTAGGATATTTCTCTATTTTCAAACCATTACTTTAGTAATAAAATCATATTTTTTTTCATAAACACATTTAATTAGTGGAAGCCCCCTTGGCCCATTAGTTGACTAAGGGTTGATTAATGCTTCTACACCAAAAGGTCTGGGGTTCGAGTCCCATGTATTGCGATTTATTAACAAATTTGCAGATTAATGGAGGCAAGTGTGTAAGAGATCTCCAGCGATGTACAATTATAACCGTCCGCCAGGATTCTACGCAGAGAAGGAAGTGTCGCTAGGTCGTGGATCATTGAAGGTATTCATCAAGATTACGAAGAAGGAAGTGTAGTCTGTCGTAAATCTAGTAAGAGTCGGAAGGAATTGTCAGTTGTAGAATCGTCTATGTAACAGTTCTCATAATTTGCAATTAATAATAAATCTAGACGACAAAAAAAAAACACATTTAATTAAGGGAGACTCACAAATATATCCCTTTTTCAATATCCCTTTTCAAAAATGCCCCCTTTAGCTGTCCATTTTTAAAAATACCCCTTTTTATGTACAAAATGACTAAATTACCCTTCTTTTAATAAAAGATATCACAAATATATAAGGAAAACATGGGAATGTGCACACATCAAAATTACAAATATGATTTTGTAAAAACTTGTAAAACCTTTAAAATACCTTGTAAAATTTTTCCCGCCAAAAATTTTTTTTTACGGGAAAAGTGATTCCGCAATTTTGTTGGCGTTAAATTTTTGGCGGGAAAAATTTACAAGGTATTTTAAAGGTTTTTTACAGGGTATTTATAAGGTTTTACAATGTATTTTAAAAGGTTTTATAACGTATTTATAAGGTATTTATAAGATATTATAAGATTTTACAAGCTATTTTATAAGGTTTTACAAGATTTTTATAAGGTTTTACAAGTTATAAATACCTTATAAAACCTTATAAATACCTTGTAAAACTTTTTAAAATACATTGTAAAACCTTACAAAATACCTTGTAATTTTTTCCGCCAAAAAAATTTCGCCAAAAAAGTTGCGAAATCACTTTTCCCGCAAAAATTTTTTTTTGGCGGGAACAATTTTTACGGGAAAATTTTACAAGGTATTTTAGAAGTTTCTACAAGTATTTTGGCGGAAAAATTGCGGGATCACTTTTCCCGCCAAAAAATATTTTGTATTTTGTGGACCTTATTTTGTTTCAAATAAGGGTAAAATGGTCATTAAAAATTAAAAGAGGGCAAACTTAAAAATGGACTCTCAAAAGGGGCATTTTTGAAAAGGGGTATGTAAAAAGGGGCATTTTTAACAATTTCTCTAAAAAATATCATTGGTCAAAACATTAAAACTGTATGGATAAAACTGGAATTTTCAACAAACATTTGCATTGAAAACCTAAACCGACAACTATTATGAAACAAAATTTAAATCTTAAAACGACAACTAAACTGAAACGGAGGGAGTAATATTTTATCTGGGAAACAAACATGCAAAAATATGCTATTTTTTGAATACATGACAAAATTTACCTTTATGAAAAAGAAAAAGAAAAGGGCAAAAAAACTACAAATTCGTGACAAGTTAATGTTTAGACGAGTGTTTGTGTTTATAAGGTTTAGCTTGGAACTTGGAAGTTTGGTATTGGAGAAGTTAATTTATTTTCCTTGGATTTTTCTTTTCTTTCTCCTATAATTTAACTTATGTTGTACTTATATTTTTGCTTATTAATCTCTATTTAATTGTTACCATAATATATATTGTCATAACCTGATTTGTTATTTTTTTTGGTTCAGTATCTCACTATTTAATTTTAAAAACCATAAATATGTTTGGTGCAAAAGATATATTAATAATTTAAGGGGCTTTTGCAAAAATACTACTTTTTCAATGCCACTTTTAAAAAATACCCTTTTTTAAAAACCTTATAAAAAATGCTCTTAAAAATATAAGACTTACTCAAATATGTATGTAATATTATTAAAACATACACAAACTACATTTCTATGTATCTAAAATCTTATAAATACTTTATAAATACCTTATAAATGCATTTTAAATACCTTTTAAAACCTTTAAAATATCTTGTAAAACCTTTGAAAAACCTTAAAAATCCTTTAAAATAACTTGTAAAACTTTTAAAAACACCTTATAAAACCTTATAAATACTTGGATCGAGTCTTCAAGTAGTAGTTACAATCCATAAGTACCTTATAAACCTAATAAAACTTTATAAAAATTTCAGATTTAAAAAAGGGCATTTTTGAAAATGGACATCTAAAAAGGGTATTTTTGAAAAGGGGCACACAAAAAAGAGTATTTTTAACAATTTCCCATAATTTAATATTGGTCAAAAAATCATAAATAAGAAATTTTGTCTTTTACTCATATTTATATGGGAATCACAGTTGTCATTTGTTTAACAGCTGTAGATTAAAATTCATATAACTATTTGAATTAAGATTGAAATGCCTTTGATTTTTTTCCTTATACATAATGTTAATTATTTTAATTAACGATAAAGTAAAAACAAATTTTAAAAATATTAAGATAAGATCTCTGTGGGCCAATCGAATGGTCTTCTCTCTCGCTCTCACCTAAACTATCAAGTAATCTCTGAACTCTCTTCGTACTTAGGACTGATTCATTTCGTAGCTTAGTTTGTGTGGAATTTAGGGTTTTCGTTAGAAGCCATGGTTAGAACCAAAACCAATGGCTCGGGGATAGATAGGTTAAGCGATTTACCAGAGCATTTGTCGTGTCGTATACTCTCTCACCTCTCCACCAAGGACTCGGTTCGTACGAGCGTTTTGTCTAAGCATTGGAGAAACCTTTGGTTACATGTTCCTGCTTTGGATTTGAATACCATTGATTTTCCAGATAATCTCGTCTTTAAGGAGTTCATTGATAGATTTGTCGAATTTGACAAAGAGTTAGACTTAAAGAGATTCGAGATATTTTATGATGTTAATCATGACCACTCTTTTGATGAGTTTCTGTGGATGATCGATGATGTGGTTAAGCGTAGAGTTTGTCGTGTAACAGTTATCAATAACGTCTATGTTGTTGATGAAACGTTAGTTACCATGCCTCTATCGCTGTATTCATGTGCAACACTGGTGAATTTGACCCTCTCCTTTGTTGCCATGAATAAGCCACAGTCAGAATTGGTTTCTTTACCTTGTGTAAAGACCATATATCTAGATGCAGTGAAATTTGATGGTGATGATTCAATTCTAGAGACTCTCGTATCGGGTTGTTCGGTGCTTGACGATTTAACGGTGATTGCGCATCCTGAAGATTATGCCCAAGTTGTATGTGTTCGCTCTCGATCATTAAAAAGCTTCACACTAGAGTCTCAGAGTCAGTATCAAGACCCCAATGTTGTAATTGACTGTCCAAGGCTTGAGTATATGAGTGTTAGGGGATACCAACCTGCAAGCATTGTAGTACATAGTATTGGTCCTTATGCAAAGGTAAACATCGATGTGATGTTTGAAGTTGACTATGAAGATCCACCGGCAATCACTATGATCCGCAGTTTTCTCACCGCGATATCCAAAGCCCATGAAATGACCATCTCAACTCGAACTTTAGAGGTACATTTGATTGTTTTATTCCATAACATCATGTTTATACATATTTATTCTTTCTTTATTGCTACATACACAGCTCATCGACGGCTACCATTTGATGGTGAATGAGTTGCCTAAGTTTTCCAACTTGTCTCGCCTAAATGCTTTCTTAGACAAGTCTTTTTGGGAACGTTTACCAGGTTTTCTTGGTTGTTGCATCAATCTGAATTCATTCGTCCTGGTGCGTTTCTTTTGCGTATGGTCATGTAATTATATTAGGATTTATATCCCAAGATAATATTACATAATTTTTTTGTTTATGTTATTAGGAACTTGACGGTCCATCAGAGATAGAGGAGATTAAAGTTTCACCACTGCTTCAAGATGCTCTATCCGCTCGTGGGTTTGTTCAGCTGAAGACACCACTTTCAGTCACAAGGACGTCAAGTGAGAGGAAACTAGCAGCATATTTTGTGAAGAAAAGTGGCTAAAAGTGAGTAATAACATATTATCTCGGTTTCTCTCATAAATCCATTTTTATTTCCAGTTATCTACCAATATTACATTTTATGTAAGACTTTATAATTTTTTTTGGTGGACATGATGACTTTATGATTTCTAGTTATATGGATGTTTGTAAGGTAAATTTCCCTTTTTGGTTGACATGACTTTATCGTTCCTAGGTATACAGTTATTTAGTAGTCGTCAACTATATTGAATCTATGGTAATCTCTGAAACCCTAGCGAACACTTTCCTTGCTCAATACTCTTTCCTGTGTAATTGTGTCTTAGCTTCTTTTTCTGACTTGATTAAAATCACACGACTTAACTTCATGCTAACCATTTTATTTTATAAAGTTAAGTTATAACCTTGCTGGTGATATTAGAATTGGTCAGGAAGATATGATTAGCAAATTACAAGATTTTTTTTTTTTTTTTTGTGATATACCAGTAATTCCCAAAAAGGATGAGCTTAGCACCAGCTTTTTTGCCACGTATGGATAAATCTTTGGCAATATATGGCTCGATTGGATTTTGAGCTTTCATAGATTATGCTAAAATTCGATTATTTTCAATAGGTTTATAGGTTTGATCAGTAACTTTATTGTGTGCTTTAGAAAGAGTTATGGTAAGGCATACATGATATATCATATTGAGGTAGAAACACGATCGCGAGACTTCAACAGATCGATGTTCAAGAAAATACAAAATACGATAGTATTAAAAATACCTTCTACCATTCATATATCATATAAGTTATGTGATCATCAGTCAAGTGGTGAATCAATTTTCTCAGTGGTTATGTGTTTGGAGAAGTTATATCTAGCCGCTCTGCAAAAAGCCATGGGAGTGCTCAAGGCTCAGTGACTGACTACCAATTGGTTTACAAGATTTAAGAAAGCTAGCTAGTACATCTGAATCTGGAAAGGACAAAGATACCTGATTGGTCAATTTTGAGAAAACTGAGACTACAAGAAACTAAAGTGTGGCTATACTTATACTTTCTAACCACGTACCCGTTTCCTATTATTTTATTTTTTTGGTATGACGAGGGAGACAAGTCTCCCATATTTTATTAATAAAAATTTTAAAATTACAACCGAAAATGTCTAGATCGCGTAAATCCATTCACATCTTCTAACCAAATCAAACGAACATCCTCCGGAGTTAAACGAACACCCGTTTCCTATTATCTTTTTATAAACCGTTTCTACATTTCAATATGTCCGTTTATGATTCCATGCAATCTAAAAAATATATACTATTTTATAATCGTGATTTCTTGTTTTATATATTGAATTACTGATAATGTATTATTTCATTCTTTTCTTAAAAAGCTAAATATGTTAAGCACGATATATATCCTCTATATATTATAACAGAGTTTTTGGCTAATGTGGCTAAGTCCACAATTTTTTTTTTACCTTTTTTCAAAAAAAATTTGACTATCATATTTGCCAAACACATATTTTCTTATCCTTCTCATCATCCTCTTTAAATACTTACCCAAACACACTTTATTTTATTCTAATATATCTATAATATCCAAATTTAAAATTTTCAAATCTCTATATTATTACCATATATGATATTTGAAATTCCTATACACTTAATGCTTTGATTTTCTGAAATGCACTTTCAATTTGAATATAAAACATCCTCTATATAGTAAAATATAGTCATTTGGAAATTTTATAAATAAATTTATTTATAATATTAAATATCATAAAAAAATTAGTTATAAAATTAAATAGCATAAGATCTATCCGGACATAGCATAGATTCTTACCTTGTTAATTTTCGTTAAAAAATTACTCTGTTTATTATATAAAGAGGATTATTTTGATATATTTTATACATACTAAAAAAGAGTTAAATATACATATATATATCTTTATTTAATATATCCTTAATTATATCATAATGACTTAAACACAAAGGTATTTTAGTTTTAGATAGAAGGATAATCTGAAAATTTAGTTAAGAAGTCGCATCAAAAATGTAAAACTGTGTTCTTTTAAACAAAAAATAATTCTAAAATGATACTCTTTGAAAAACATATAGAGTATTTGAAAATTTTGAATATTCTTTTATATAGAGTATCATATATGGTAATAAAACTGTGTTCTTTTAAACAAAAAATAATTCTAAAATTACCAAATTTCATTAAATTTCATAAAAACTCACAACGTTTCGTGGTCAATAAAATATTTAAGAAATTTGAAAGGGCACACACGACACGTTTCCTGGCCTCTTTTTATTTTCAACTCATCATAAAAACTGTCAAAAAGGAAGAAAATCTAGCGAGAAGATCTCTGGTCGTCGTCAAATTGAAGGTTCTTCTTCTTCCTCCCTATCTCGACTAATCTCTAACCTAATCACTGAACTCTCTTTCATACTTTTGATTATGTTTGATTAATTAGTCATAAATTAATTTTGTAGCTTTGTCTAAAATTTAGGGTTTCCAGTAGAAGTCATGGCTAGAACCTCTCTAAACACCCCTTTAAGCAAGAAGAAGTTCATCGAAACCGAAGTCTCAGGGAAAGATTGGTTAAGCGATTTACCATGTCATTTGCTATGTCGGATCCTCTCTAAACTCTCTACCAAGGAATCGGTTCGCACTAGCATTTTGTCGCGTCGTTGGAGTAATCTCTGGTCACTTGTTTCTGTTTTGGATTTGGATTTTCAAGATTTCAAAGGTGTTCATGACATGGGAGAATTCATAGATAGCTTTATGGAATCTCACGAAGAGTTAGGTTTGAAGTTGAAGAGATTCAATTTGTTTTATGCTGTTCATGAGCACTTTCATAAAGTATTTGTGAGGAGGTTAAATAAAGTGGTTAAGCTTGGAGTTTGTGATCTGACTATTCAGAATATGGTGGATGTTGATGAAGCCTTAGTTAGGATGCCTCTCTCGCTCTATTCATGTGCGACTTTGGTGAATTTGATTGTCTACTGTGTTGTCTTTGATCATCCAGGATCAAAATCGGTTTCTTTACCTAGTGTCAAGAAAATGTATTTTGAGGGTGTCAAGTTTGATGGCCATTCCGTTCTGGAGACTCTCATATCGAGTTGTCCGGTTCTTGAGGAGTTAACTGTTATTCCGCATCCGGAGGATTATCTCGAAGTCATACGTGTTCGTTCTCAATCATTGGAGAGCTTCAGACTTGAGTCTAAGCGTTTTGAGTGTGACAATCCCAATGTTGAAATCGATGCTCCAAGCCTTAAGTTTATGAGTATTTTTGATAACAAACCTGAAAGCCTTAAAATACATAGAATTGGTCCCTTTGCAGAGGTAACCGTTGATGTTGAGTTTGATGTCGAGTATGATGATCCATCGGAGATAGCTAAGGTACATAATTTTCTCGTCGGGTTATCCTCATTTCACGAACTGACCATCTCTGCTCGAACTCTAGAGGTACACATGATAGAGTGATTAAATATAACATTAAGCTTGCACAATTTTGTAAATGGCGTTTACTTACTTTTATGCTATACATTCAGTCCATCGATGAGTATTCCAAGGTGGAACCATTGCCTCCATTTTCTAACTTGTTTCGCTTGGATGCTTCGTTAGTCGAATCTTCTTGGGAAGTTTTACCAGCCTTTCTTGGTTGCTGCATAAATCTAGATTCGCTAGTCCTAGTGAGTTTCATTTGTCTATGTTTTAGGTAATTATGTTGAGATTTATATCCCAAGATAACTTTTCAAATTTTTTTTATGTTTCTAGGAACTTGACCACGTTCCTGAGATGGAGGAGATTAAACTTTCACCAGTGCCTCAATGTGTCTTATCCTCTCTCGACTTTCTTCAGCTGAAGACACCATCGACACCAAGTAAAATGAAACTTGCAACATATTTTAGGAAGAATTGTACAACCTTGACGAAAATGCTTTTAAGTGGGCGGTAACATCATCAAGAAAATCTAAAGGATTTAGAAGAAATCCTTGAAAGGTGTTTGTTATGCTTAATGACAATGTTGTCTCTCCTAAATCCAGTTTACCTACCAACAGTTATCAAATAATCTATTGTAAGACTTTCTAGATTTTTATATGGATGTTCTTTTGGTAATTTCTATCTTAAAAACAAAACTGAAATTCTATGTTATGATTAGGATTACAAATTTTTATATTCTTTCATTGAAACTTACTCAAACTTAAAAGTGAAAGATCATTGACTTCATCCATGTTGTTACCGGTTGGAGATTCAACGTCAAAGTTTCGTTGAAAGTTTGTTGCTATAGTTTTGTATATTTCACATGCATTGTAATTAGGTAAAAAATATTATATATAGTATATATTAACGTTAAAACAACTTCAGTATATTCTAAATTTTAAATACTTAGTTGCTTCATTTAATCGCAAACCATTTGGTTGAATCCAACTCTTATTAAATACACTAACAGGACGTATGTTCTTTCAAACTAAACTAATCAGGAGTCTCGACGCAATAAGAAACGCATTGATAAGGCAGAATTTTCTTTTTTTTTTTTGTCAGAGCACTGATCAATGTACAAAACACAAAGCTAGAAATTAATACACAATGTGACGTTAAAAGAAAATAAATTAATACACAATGTTATAACTTTATCTTTATTTAATCAGCAAACTCACTCACTGTGAACTTGGATAGTGAACTCAAGAGCAAAAAGTCTTTATTGATTTCTCACATGCACAGATTAAGACAAGAGAACCCTTCTTGTTTTTTTTTTTTTTAAATCCGGAAGCAAATCTCTTGTCTCCTTCTGACATTTGAGAGCATTGATTACTCTTCTACAATGTTCACGACATCAGACTCGATTTGTGAGAGATTATTATCTTCTTTCATGGTGATGTCTACAGGTCCAGCGACTCAACAGTCAACACCACCCCACTTGTCCACTGCGCATCGATCATTTGAACATGTCGATCTCTTTGCATTCCGCACCGTTGTTCCCTTCTTTCATTTAATTCACTGTTTCAACATCAAACTATATTTATTCATTCATTTAATTATACTATTGGACATGGTGGTAGGTAATAAAAGGTGTTCAATTTCGTTACATTATTACGATATATTAATAAACTGTGACCAGAATCGAACCAAGCCAAAAAGGTAATACATACCAATTAAAACCTAAATATCTTCAAATATATTTTCGCAAACCTAGACATTATCAAACAGAATCAAATGGCATTCTGATTCTATATTTCATAAACCGAAAACCGGATTCGGCAGTGAGCACCTTTAGTAGGCAAGATGTTGACTGAGAACAACTGAAGCTTTTAATAAATAAACTAACACTCAATGCACAAGCAAAGATACCAATATGATTGTATTTGTAAACCGCCAAAACATTAAACTTACCTTGTTCGTTTCTTGCTGTAAAGATAATTATTCTTTTCTCATCTCCAACCAGACATTCAGCAATGTGGCATTTGCCATGCCTGATGACCAGTTGCAGACCTCTTTGTATCACCATCTTCGTACTAAGACCATCCTCATTGATGGTCTAACAACTTTCACACTAAGTCATGGCCTTTAACTCATCAACCTTGGTGAACACGAGTTTCCGCGTTTCTAATATTTAAATACTTGATCCGTCTAGTATTCCTCGTCGATTCTTACCCTCGTTCCTTTGATCTTGGACATCTCACTTGAAATGCATTCTTTGCGATCTTGTACCCACGGAGTGGTATACTGAAGACCAACAACATCTCGACAAAGATAAGTACAAGCAAGTAGATCATTCGACGTTAGAGGGAATGACATTAATATAGACCGTCAATAATGGGGAACTGATCTCGACTGTACACGTGTAAGCTCCCGGTAGTTTGCTTTGCTCCTTCGTAAATCGTCGTGAGAAATAGCCCTTAAGTTTTCGTAAATTTTAATATTAACCCCAAATATCTTGATTCTACAATATACACCCCATCGAGATAACTACGGCTGACTTCTTATGGTTTTATTGTTTGACCACCTTTGAGGCGACGATTCCGGTTTACCAACTATAGCTTTCAATCCCCACCTAAACCGGAAAGGATACCAAATATAATTATGTTGGTTAGTCAACCATTTTATTTCACTTTTTATGGTCATAGTCTTTAATTAATCGCTAAGGAATATAATTCTGGATTAAAAAAACCTTAAAAGAGACGTTTAATACAACGTTTTGAGCACATTTGGCCCTCTAAGAAAAAACACAGACCAGTCTTCGTAATAGCGATTCTCAAATTCGATCTCCGTACAAGCCATGGCCGAAACCTCGAAGGTAGTCAACGGTAGCGATGCCCTGGATCTTCACTCACTTCTTTCTTCTCCGGCGAGGGATTTCCTCGTTCGTAATGACGGCGAACAGGTAAAAATAGTTTTAGACGCTTCTCTCTTTCTGTAGTTGACCTGAGTTTGAGTTTATAGTCATCGATCTCAACTTGTGTTGACCTTCGATAACGATACTGTGTTTGTTTTGCGATTCTTTGAACCGATTCTTCTGGTTTACGGATTATAGATTGCTTTGTGTACTTGATTTTGCTATAGATGACTTTAAAGTGTTAAGATTCATTGAATTGGACCTTTATCTTCTGGAAGATTTTGGCTTGTGTCTATTTCACATGGCTATGTTGTTTGGGTAGAGTTTGATTATATTGTATTGCTTGATGTTCAGGTGAAAATTGACAGCTTGATAGGGAAGAAGATTGGGTTGTATTTTTCAGCTGCGTGGTGTGGACCGTGTCAGCGGTTTACTCCACAGCTGGTGGAAGTTTACAACGAACTCTCTTCGAAAGTTGGTTTTGAGATTGTCTTTGTGTCAGGTGATGAGGACGAGGAGTCTTTTGGAGATTATTTCAGTAAGATGCCCTGGCTTGCTGTTCCGTTTACTGATTCTGAAACCCGTGACCGTTTGGATGAGTTGTTTAAGGTTAGGGGAATACCTAACCTAGTGATGGTTGATGATCATGGTAAACTTGTGAATGAGAATGGGGTTGGGGTCATACGAAGCTATGGAGCTGATGCTTATCCTTTCACACCAGAGAAAATGAAGGAGATCAAAGAGGACGAAGATAGAGCTCGGAGAGAACAGACCTTAAGATCCGTCTTGGTGACTCCTTCACGGGACTTTGTGATCTCGCCTGACGGAAACAAGGTACCCCTTAGTAGCTTGTGAGAGTATCTATACAAGTTGCAGTAGTTAGTTATTACGAACCTGTGTCTCTTTGGCTTTGTTGACTTAATGATATTTGTCAATTGCATATTCATTAGGTACCCGTATCAGAGCTTGAGGGAAAAACCATTGGCCTTCTCTTCTCGGTCGCCTCTTACAGGAAATGCACAGAGTTTACTCCAAAGCTTGTTGAGTTTTATACGAAGTTGAAGGAGAATAAGGAGGATTTTGAGATTGTGTTGATATCTCTTGAAGATGATGAGGAGTCTTTTAATCAGGAATTCAAGACCAAGCCATGGCTATCGTTGCCATTCAACGACAAAAGCGCATCGAAATTGGCTCGGCACTTCATGCTGGCAACGCTACCGACGCTGGTTATTCTTGGGCCTGATGGAAAAACCCGCCACTCGAATGTCGCTGAAGCTATTGATGACTATGGAGTTCTTGCTTATCCTTTCACTCCTGAGAAGTTTGAAGAACTCAAGGAGATAGAAAAGGCAAAGGTAGAGGCTCAAACGCTCGAGTCACTTCTTGTCTCAGGTGATCTCAACTATGTTCTCGGAAAAGATGGGGCTAAGGTATAGCTCTCGATATGCTCTTAATCTTCTAAACACTGTTCTTCGAGGCTGATCTGAACCAACCTGTAAAAATTTGGCTTTCTTTGTTAGGTGCTTATTTCGGATCTGGTCGGGAAGAACATTCTTATATACTTCTCAGCTCACTGGTGTCCTCCTTGTCGCGCTTTTACACCAAAGCTTGTTGAAGTATACAAGCAGATAAAGGAGCGGGATGAAGCGTTTGAATTGATCTTCATCTCCAGTGACCGTGACCAGGAATCATTTGATGAGTACTACTCGCAAATGCCGTGGCTGGCTCTTCCATTTGGTGATCCTAGGAAAACATCCTTGGCACGAACCTTCAAGGTCGGTGGGATCCCAATGCTAGCAGCTCTGGGACCAACTGGGAAAACTGTAACAAAAGAAGCAAGGGACCTTGTGGTAGCCCATGGAGCCGAGGCTTACCCTTTTACTGAGGAACGTTTGAAGGAGATTGAAGCTAAGTACGATGACATGGCAAAAGAGTGGCCTAAGAAGGTGAAACATGTACTTCATGAAGAACATGAGCTAGAACTGACTCGTGTACAGGTTTACACGTGCGATAAGTGCGAGGAAGAGGGGACAATATGGTCTTACCAGTGCGACGAATGCAACTTTGATCTTCACGCCAAGTGTGCTTTAAAGGAGGACACAAAAGCAGACGGCGATGAGGCTGTGAAAGAAGGTGGCAGCGAGTCCACAGATGGTTGGGTTTGTGACGGAGACGTATGCACCAAGGCCTGATAGGTAGCTTCAGGCACAATTATGTCACTGTGTGTATGCAAAGCTATTTCTTTTCCTTGTATAATTTGCTAAGAGTGAGAAAGTGTGGCTACAATCTGATATCTGATAAGACCTTGGAGATGAACTCTGTTAAAGTATTAAAATAATCTTTTTATTTAACTTTGATCTTGTATCAACAAATTTTATATTCCAACAAGAGGTGTATGAAACAATACATTGGCACACTCTAGTATATATATTGAGAGATAAAGAGAAAGCTCTCTGCTCTCAGATGGTCTTCTTGGTTCCAGGGGATAACAGCTATGTAGAGGAAGCTAAAGGCGGTGATTCTCATGCTAAAATTATGAAAAATTCAGAAGAACTTTTTAAGCTTTAAATGAAGAAATATTTGAGATTATTTGAGATGGTTTTAAAATCATGTTGGATTTTGGATAACTGTATCCAGTCAACTAAAGTGATACTTACCAGTGATAATGTGTTTTATCATAGGACGACAACGTTTATGAATTTCCGCTTGGCAAATGCAAGCCACCATTTGTTTGGTGTCCCATTGGCTCTATAAGCTACACTCAGTAGCCTCCCACTCGTCTCCTCTCGAACCTGCTTAAGATAGTTCCTGAAAAGATCTGACATTTGAAGCCAAACAGAACACAAGGCTAAGAACCTAGTAACCGAAAGAAAAACTGAGGAATCAATAAGAGTTGGTTGTTTAGACATGTATATACCTGCTTCGTCCAGGGACTGAGGAAGCGAAAAGAGGCCTGGGAAAGGAAAGCCAGTTTCTCCAGGAACAGGAATATCTTCTAAACCCAAGTTGATAATGGCCTTAGTTCCAACAGCCAACGTTCTACAGCCTTCGAGCCTCTTTAACGCCACATTTATGTAAAACGTCAAGTAAATAAGAAGCTTATCAGCAGGACTTTTGATATCAAAGTTTGTGAAGAAGACATTAGCACGAAAGAAGGTGATCGCCTCGTCCACGATATCAGTTTTATCTGCATATATAAACCAACAATACATAAACACTTTCCTTCGAAAAAAATCACATGTATATAGCATTGTTTTGATCAATACCTTGTTCTGAAATTGGTGCAGGACCTTTTATATGACTCTTGAGAGGAAGCAATGGACAACCACATGCCTTTGTTATCCCTTCTTCATCCACAAAGCTCGAGTGATAAACCTGATTAGAGCGTTTAATCACAAGGATTAAGGTAACAAAATGAGTATCAAACAAATACAAGCAATGGATTCAAATACTCCATGGAACTAAATCAAAGTGAATTAGGATTAATGCTAATTGAATGAAGAAGATAAGAAAAAATGGTGATCCGTACCATTTTGTGCCCAATGGAGAAGAATCGAATCAAATCGAATCGTAGATCTGGTGCAATTAAGATCATGGAGATATTAAGAATCAGGATTTAGGTGAACGATTGATTTTAAGTTTTCTTTTTTACCTGTTGGAGAAATTGGTAAACGAGATCAGATCAATTTCAACTCCTTAAGCAACTGCGGAAGAGGAGAGACTGCTTACAGTTACGCACGGTGAAGAATCCGTCGTGATGTTGCGGCGGTCGGAGATTGTCTTATTGGGAATCGTCGGCTGAAGAAGTCGAAATTGAAAATCGACGAAGTAGGAAAAGGAATGAAGAAGACAGAGAGGTATGGATGACACGTGTAAGCAAGCCTCCATGAATGTGGTACATTGCTTCGTACCGGGACTAACCAATGTTAAATCCGGTTTAGGTTTTAGAAAGGATATCTATATATACATTTTTGGATGACTTTTAGCAAATAAATCCTGGAGTTGGAATGTATTTACAATGGAATGCCACTGGTGGGTCGGTTTATTTTAATAACGTTTGACCCGGTTTATTAAATCGGATACTTCCGAAAATTCTGCTTCTAACATTTAATGAAACAAATAAACGACTAAGCCTGTACATATTATTTATCTACTAGCGTCGAGGCCCAATTATCGGCCCATATTAACCACGTTAACTTTTTATATATTCTTCACATTATAGTCCAAAACGGATTCACCCTTATTTCAATCTCATATTTCCGATTTTATAACATGCAATTATGATATGAAATTCATATATTAATAAACTTCCTTAGACTAATCCACATTTAAGTAGCAAATAATTCCGAATTAGTAGTTTTGGTAATTTCGTATATCCTAAAATTATATAACCAACAATAAATGCAATTCACATTTAATTAGCAAATAATTTCGATTTCTCAGTTTTGGTAATTTTGTATCTCCTAAAATTCTATTCTTAGCAACCTAACAAAACTAATTTCCTAATCACAATTCCATATCTCCTAACTTTATTCTCTTAACAAACTAATTAATTCAATCCCACGAAATCTTCATTCCAATATCAACCTACAAATCTAGAAAATTAATCTTCAACAAATCAATTTCGTTATTCTATAAGCATAATGATGGTATATTCCTAACAAACCTATTATATTAAAAAGATATTATTCCACACATTTTGGTTCACGTAACCTAATTCTTTTCCCTATATAAACTCTACTCCTAAGCTCCAATATCTATCACAAACCTCAAAAGCTCTAAAATCCGATATTGAAAAGTTTTAACTCATCGAAATGGCTTGCACTTTTGGTTTCCTCAACGACGTGCGTCCCTACACGACTTCTTGGAGGGTTCAAGTCAAAATCTTGCACTCATGGCGCCAGTATATGCAAAATACTGGTGAAATACTAGAGATTATCATCTCTGATGAAAAGATATTAGTTATATTAATCTCTATTTTATAATTATGTTCAAAACACTTCACTTATTCCCTACTAATACACAACTTTACCTATTATTATTTGCAGGGAAAAAAAATGCATGCAACAGTAAAGAAAGACTTGGTTAGCAAGTATGCTCATCAGATCATTGTTGGTGATTGGGTCTTCATCGAGACTTTCCAACCAAACTTTTCAATATCTCTACAAGATGACATTCCAAACAGGGACAGTGATCATTCCATGTGACCCAAAATCAGATTCAAATTTTCTGTCACTTGCAAAGTTTCAGAAAATCCAAAATGGTCAACTAAATCCACACATCTTGGTTGGTACGTATCCATTTACTTATTGTTATATTCATACAGTTATAATAATTGAGATTTATATCTACCATTTCAACATGTTTCTAATAGATAACTTTATTTGGCAGATGCTATTGGACAGATTGTGACTATTGGTGAGTTGGAAAATCTGGAAGCAAACAACAAACCAACTGTGAAGATTGAATTTGAGCTTCGAGATGAAACGTAATGTCTTACTTATTTTCATAGTCCTAATATCAATATATGATTAATATTTATGCTATGTTATCTAATAAATCTCTTTATATTAAAACAACAGTGATGAAAGGATAGCATGTACCCTGTGGGTAAAATTTGCTGAACAAGTTTTTAGAGCTTGCCAGGAATCTGATGGAAGTCTGGTGGTTTGTCTCATGAGATTTGTGAAGATAAAACCATTTATGGGTAACTAATATATATCCTCTATTTAGAAAACGTGTTGTTATTTTTATCAATATATAAAGAGATTTTCTTAATGATATATGACCCATAAGTTTTATGTTACTATTATTCTTCTCAGGTGTTATGGGTTTATCAAACTCTTTTGATGCTACTCAGATACACGTGAACCCACCATTTCCTGAAATTGCTGTTTTCACACAAGCGTACGGTTATCTATATCCACAATTATTCTTTATTCTATAAACAACTTATTTACTTAGAGAGAACTAAGTAAATTAATCACTTCTTACAGGCTGCCAGATGATGGCCTCAGGCTCATCTTTCGTGGTTACAAAACAAAGTGGGAGATGGTGAGTGGTGACTGTTAAAGAAGAAGACTTTCTGGAGTTTCCAAGGAAAACAATTACAGAGCTGAAGAATACTATGGAGGTAACACACATCTTAAACTATTCATGTATCTAACACACTTCTTAATCTAACCAATCGTTTTTTAATTATGTAAAGATTGGAATGGTTAGGCTTCTGTGTTCAGTCTATGCAATTGATACAGATTGGGCTTGGTACTACATTAGTTGTCGTACGTGCAATAAGAAAGTGAATCATATTCATGCTGGAGTGAATGGTGTGATTAACAAAGGAAAAAAACCAAGGTTTTGGTGTTTAAGAGACTTCTGGTGGGTATGAGGCCGAAACAAGGGAGTTTGGTGGCCATCGAAGACTTTACCTTAGATCCTTAAGAATAAGCATTTGGATTTGGGGTTATGGACGATTTGTGATGAAATCTTCTATTCACAGCTCTAATCGAAAATAAAATTACAAGAATCAGCAATAAAACGAGATGGATTCGAAGAGTAACAGAGAAAATGAATCGAATTTTTACGCTTTCGTTTTTTAAACAGAGAGATGTTGAATAGGTGGATTTCGTAGCAAACAACCGGTTTAACATTTATCTTCTTTGTTGCAGATGAAGAAATCGTAAGAACTAGCAGCTCCTTATGAAAACGATTTTGTGATTAGATAAAGAAGAATTTCAGATCAATTGTTACATCATATCTAGATCACGAAATTGCGAAAAAGGAACAAGCTTTATAATGACCAAGATCCAGAAATTGGGAATTCAAAGAAGAGAATGAATACATGAGACATAGCTTTCGATTCAACTACAGACAAGGCTTGAAAGAGAGAGAGAGAGAGAGAGAGAGAGAGAGAGAGAGAGAGAGAGAGAGAGAGAGAGAGAGAGAGAGAGAGAGAGAGAGAGAGAGAGAGAGAGAGAGAGAGATTTTCGTTATCGTAGAATGAGTGAATAGTAGGTACCGATATTTTCTGAGAAAGAAGATGCATAGTAAGTGCCGACAACATTATACACTTAATTATCTATTCAGTTATGTCTGTAGGATAGTTATTTGTTTTAAAGACTAACATAAGGTTTTGTTCAATCCGGAAAAATTGTAACACAATTGGTTCAGTATAATACTCAAAGTTTCAAAAACAATGAACTTAAAACTATATTTGGTATGAAAGTCATAATTGTTCCCAATCATATTTTCATTGCATAACACATCTATATATTCTAAAGTGATGCATTATTTATTTTATAAACAAACAAAATGATAAAACATAATAATATTTAACTTATTTTACAAATTTTTATAAAATGCATCTTTGAAATCTAAATTTAAAGGAAAATACAAAACAAAAAATGTTGCTCTCAAAATATAATCGGTACTTAGGATATTGTATGTTACTGTCTCTATATTTTTTAACCGTAAAACTAAAACAAAATTTAGATATAGCTATATAGATGATACATTTAAATTTTATAAATAAATATAATTTTCTCAAATAACAAACAAAATAATTAACATTAAATATTTTTTAAAATATAGCCCCGCGGTGTACCGTGGGTTCAAATCTAGTGAATTACAAATAAATATATATTATTTTATCATGGTTAGAAATTCGGTTTGGTATCGAAAATTTAAGATCAATTCACTTTTTTTATACAGATTTAGGTAGAGCAAAAATAAAACCGAACAAAGATGTGGTTCACTTCTTGGATTGCTTTCCGGTTCAATTTCGGGTAAAATTTGTGAAGTGTTCATAGAAGAACCAAGAGAGAAATTGTGTCAAGTTTTTATTATTTCTGCTGAATAAAGAAAAACTTGTTACATAAGCAACATACAAACTCACTAAATCAAGACTAAACAGAAATGCACAAATACTTACAATGAACCGGAGGACTTAACCGAGATTTAAAGAAGCTCTATATAACTCAAATGTACAGGTTAATAAGATTCTTTTTTTTTGTGTGATATATAGTACAAATTACCTAAGACAAACATGAATAATAATAATAATAATAATACGTGAATCATCTTACATAAATTTGTCTAACATTCAACAAACTACTACGCAGCTCTTGATTCAAACAATTAATTAACTTACACATATTTCTACTGAATTGATAACAATACAACTGGTGATAACCAACTAAACTAAATTGATGCTACATTCTATGGTTTCACTATCGTTTAAATTTGAAGTTACGGGGATGTGTCGTAAGTTATCACCTGAACAGTTGAGAATTGCTCTTTGCACAGTGTGATGATGCGGTTTTAAATCGTTATGGCTCTGGTTGCTGTAGCTCGTGAAAGCGCCTAATGCTCCAAGAAACCCTTCATGTCGTAAAAACATTGCCTTCGCCTCACCTCTCGACCTGAAATGAGAAGGAAAAATGACAAAATTTACATGAGTTTTAGATATGGAGGGATTTGATTTAGTTTCAGTTTTGGATTACCAAAAGTGAACAGCAACAGAGATTGTGTCCATGGTGTACTCGAGCCCACGGATGAAAAATCCACCAAAGAAAATACGTTTAAGACCGAATCTGAGAGCATTCAAATAAGCAATCTGGAGAGAAAGTGAGACAATAGAAAATGTTACAACCCAATCAGAAAAAATCATCAGCTAAAGGTTTTCTGTAAAATGGCATTGAAATGATCAGAGGAACTGACCTGACCGATGTTATTTGATATCATTCGTAGAAGGGATCTTGCGACATCTTCTGGCTGGTAATCTTCAAGTTCTTTGCCATCAGAAATCGCTTTCCCAAAGCTAGAAGCAATAGCTGTTGAGGAGAGACCAATCTACCAGAAAAGAATGAACAAAAGGTTTATATTCACATATGAATCCAATCTAAAACTCTAGCAGACGTGTTCAAGTAGGCAGATATTTAAGCAAAACCAAGATCAATCAATTACCTTTGAATAATCTGTTCCACCATAGATATCCCCGACAAGCATGTCAATTACTCTGTTATTTCCATGGTGACTTAACTCTAGCAGCTCATCAAAACTGAAACTAAGAGATATTAGTTGTTACTCAGGCAAGGAGGTTACTTACATTAATAGACTTAACTAAGAAGTCACCTCTTGCATTTTGTTAAAAGCTTTCCAAGACCTAAAAATGTGCCTCCACCAAGGCTTGTTCCACTTATCCGCTCATACTTTCCATCTCCATCGACCTACAGAAAAACGAGTTTGAGTAAGCAACATCGCTGATGTAGTTGCAAACAAAATCAAAGTGATCAAAGAAACGAAAACCATAGTGACCTTGATCATGCTAACGCCAGAGCCTATATTAACAAGTAGATATGGATACAAATCATTATGGTCGATCTCGACAAACTCCTTCTGGCCATCCAAGTAGGTAAAAGCTTCCCTTGGGACTGTCTGCAATCATAAAAGAATTATTTGTTACGTAATAATTCTTTTATGTAAAATGGCAAAAACAAGAAGTTTGTCAGAAATCTATTCTGCCACAAATGTCTTTGATGTATTGAAGAAAGTATCTTATAGAAGACCTCAGGGAGCACACCACATTTAAGAACAATTGCAGATTATCATCATCAAATATTTGATATCCTAAATGGTAATGTAGCTATATTTTCAGTCTTCTATAAGTAAATCTAGGAAACCACTAAGACCAAGAGATAATCTCTATCAGGAAAACATAAGCCAACTTCACACATTAGAATTAACAGACAAAGATACATAAATTTGTGGCCTAGACTCTTCAGAGTGCAGCGTTGCTCAAGTGTGTTAACAAGGATAAAAAAAAAGAAGTACATTCCAAAAGCAGACACAACATATATATAACAGACAAGAATCTTCATTTGGATAATGTTAGAGGAAAAATGAAGAGAGAGATGATGGTAATAGGATAGAAAAAAATCAAACCTTTAATAGAAAATTAACACCCCCAACAAGAGAATGCATCTCATCTTCCTTATCAAAAAGAATTCCAAGTTTCTCCTTAAAGAGATCAGCAAACTTAAATGCCCCACCACCTGTGGCCTTTGGAATAATAGCATATCAATTAGTAGACCATAATCCAACTACAAACTAAAATCCCACTGCAACATTCCTCACTACAAAGCTTTAGCCAAACTATAACCGATGATAACTTTTACCTTAACATAAAGTTTATCATGAGCCACGCCATTCGGATGCTGAACACCTGAATCATTTCCTCTGTCAGTGAAGTGAAATAACAAAGGAACTCAACTCAACTTCTAATAAACTTATTTTGGTTCGAACAAAGGAATATTGAAAACACCCCCATCCCCGGTTCTACATCCGCTTAGGTTGTTTGCAACTCAAACAGAAACAACCTCTCCGCGCGGATATAGAATCCGGGATGGGGTGTTGCAAAAATTCATTTACTAATAAACTTTTTACAAATTGGAACTTAATGGAGATTATTCAAAGATAATTTACTCGAAATCAGTAAAATGACTCAAACATTACTACTGCAAATAGACATAATGCTTCTGAATACATATGAATCAGATGATGAATCAGAACGTTATGATCATAAAAATCCACACTTTACCGGAATGATGAAGGATATTGAATCGAATAAACTCCAAACAATCATCAATCTTTCTGGTCTCAAATTTGGCGAAACAAAGCTTCCCATGAACAACAGAGCAACCATTACGAGACTCTTCGCTGTAATCTCCATTTGCCGAGAAATACACAAGCTTTATCAAAGTCCCTGCGAAACCAAATTCCGGTTAATTCGAGATCACTCGAGACGAACCCAGAACCGAACAAATCACAAAATGAATCAAACAAAGCCAAGTTCGGTTTTTTTTTTTTTTTACCTCCGATGTCGAGAGCCAAATGAGAGATTTTTTTAGTCGAATCCATGGCGGTTTTTTTTTTTGGGTTTTCCAAAATTCTCTTTTTTGATCCGTTTTCGAGTTTTTATCAACGTTAAAGAGAACTACTTTTCAAAGATCAACTACTTTGGATCTAACCTATCTATCTATCTACTTCTCTCTTCCATGGCTGACTTGTTTTCTCTTCTCCATTGAGCAATGTTTGGCTGTCCCAAATTGATTGCGTCAATATTAATTTTTCTTCTTTTTTTTGAAGAAAGAGAGACGAATTTTGCTGACTTGTCATTTCGTTTTTTCAGGATTGGATAGAATTTCTTTTATTGTTTTATTTATATGTATATGTACATAATTTTTCAAAACTAAAAATTAATCTAAAGGTGTTTTGTTTTGACTCCAAAAAAAAAAAAGTGTTCTGTTTTGGAATTTGAAAGTAGAATTATACGTTCTCTCAGAATAGAAATATTGTGTTTTTCTTTGTTAGAAAACATTTTTAACTAATTATTTTTTGAATATAAAATTTTTTTAGAGGTGTCTCTTTATTAATTTCTTGTTAATTTTATACCAACAAAAAAGAAGAAAATATATCAGCAGTAAATGCTTTCCATTGACTTTCATCAAGTTCCACCGCATTGCTGATAACATTGTCGTATTTTTAAGATATGGAAGTGCTTGTCCTACGTCTTGTCGTATTTTAGGATATGGAAGTGCTTGTCCTACGTCTTGTCGTATTAAGATAGAATTAATTACTGATTTTGTGTTTTTTTATAGTGGTATTTGTGGATTTTGTTATTTTTTGAATAATTTGTGGATTTTGTCCTTTTTCACGTTCCAAAAATATAATTTAATATGTGTTTCACTCGTTATGTTTGGGTTTAGTCGGTTCCATTTGTTCTTAGGGTTTAGTATTTGATATAAAGTACATATTTTTGTAAAAAAAAATCACAAAATACGTACATTTTTAAGTGTTTAAAAAGGACAAAATCCGTAAACTATTAAAAAAAATGGCATTTTCGTAAGTTTTTCCTCAAAAATGGCATTTTAGACAATAATCCCATTAAGATATGGAGGCTATGATTGGTAACCAATTTTAAAGTTGTACAGCTTTGTACAGCTTTGACAGTTACCAATCACAAAAGCTTTATGAAAAACGATACACTATAATATAAATAGTTTTTTTTGTACAAAAACAAAAACAAATTAAAACAGTTACGGTTAAATATGGTTATGGTTAAATACGGTTACGATTAAATACGGTTATAACAGTTACGGTTAAATACGGTTATAACGGTTACGGTTAAATACGGTTATAACGGTTACGGTTAAATACGGTTGCGGTTACAACGGTTACGGATAATTACGGTTATAGTTATTTGATGACTACAATACGGTTAATATCAGAAGCGAAATCTTACGAGTTACCTAACTTATTATAATACTTTTCATAAAATCAAAAAGTATGTTACAAACCAAATTTTCTTCATTTCGAGCAAAATAACAGTATAACATATTTGTTTGAGAAAAATACCATTTTTTATAATGTAGATTTTTTCATATGCGGTATCATTTATTTTTTTTTAAATCTTAATCTGAACATTCGATAATTGTTTTTGTATTATATGGAGTTACAATTATATTTTTAAAGTTTTAACTATGCGGTTAACCATATGGTTAAATAACGGTTTTCATATGTTTACCGTTAATTAACGGTTACGGTTAATATATTTTTTAACTGTAACTAATTATTTTTTACGGTTAACGGTTAAGGTTTTTAACCGTTTTATACGGTTACGGTTGAGAAACGGTCCGGTTACGGTACAACATATGGTTACGGTTAGCTTTTGGTCATGCTTACTAGGCATGACCAAAAGCTAACCGTAACCGTATTTTGGATCGTAACCGGACCGTTTTTCAACCCTAACTGTATAAAACGGTTAAAAACTATAACCATTCACCGTAAAACTAGATTAGTTACGGTTTAAAAAAATATACTAACCATAACCGTTAATATACCGGAAACGTATCAAAACCGTTATTTAACCGTATGATTAGCCGCAGGGTTAACCGTATTATTAACCGCATAATTAAACTTTATAAAATATAATTGTAACTACGTATAATGCAAAAAAAAAAGTCTCGAATGTTCAGATAAAGATTTCCGAAAAAGTAAATAATATAGCCTATGAAAAAATCTCATTAGAATTAATGGTTTTTTTCTCAAACAATTTTTTTAGAATGTTATATTGCTCAAAATGGAGAATATTTTATTTATTATAGGACAAGTAAATTCATATTATTATTATAACAATAAAATATTGTTCATTCTATATAATCTTAATTTTCATATGTAATTACATACTAAAGTACATTTCTATGTAATTTTTTTTCTTTCTAAATTCTTAATATTATTTATTATGTGTACTGCTATGATGTTTCCAATCAGAGTAAATTTTTAAAATTTGTTCTGCGTTATTTTTTGTACAGCTTACCTGTTTTATTATTTTATACAGCTTTGCACTATTCCCTAACAGCTAATATCTCCAGCTAACAGCTAACAGCTTGTTACCAATCAGACCCGAAAGCATTTGCCGACCACTTGTAAATGTAATAATAGCCACTGTCATAAACCATTCATTCACTCTCGTTTATGACCTTGTAGATAGGCCCACGAAGAACATTGGTTGGGATGGTGGGGGCATTTGATGATAACATGTGATTTGTAACTGAATAGTTTATAGAAGCTCAATTTCTGAATTCAATATAAAAAATAAGAATCGTGGTACTAAGAGTTAGGGTGAGATTGGTTAAAAACCCACGATGCCCACATTTATGTGCTCATTGTTTCTACAAGTAGAAATAAATAATAGGGCCGGCGCAGAGGGCAAGCCACCGAAGCCATCTATTAGGGCCTCAAAATTTGAGGGTCTTTTTACTAAAAAATTTGTTAAGTTTTCTTATATACAATTAGATATCCACCCGCGGTACACCGCGGGCCTATATTTTTGTTAAAAAGAAATATAAATTTTTATTGTAAGGCTTCTCTTTTACATATATGCTATTATTTTTTTTATTTAAATGTATATATAGATATATACATATCTATATACTGTAGTATTAGTATATTTTAAGTTCATTTTTGAAATATAGAGATAGAGAAAATTATATAGTTCATTACGTACTGATATATAGGGTATTAAAACTTGGTTTGTACTATTTCTATTGTTTCACCAAAAAAACAAACTATTGTTTTCAAAATCTTATTATCGTGACCTTTATTTTTACATGTTCTAAAAGGGTTTCAAGTATGAAAGACTCTTAACGGATAACATGAGAAATAAAGGATAGATCACTTGAAAAACTTTGAAATCTGTTGATTGGAAACGTGTGTGTTGATGAATGAAACGACTGCTCTCGACATCTCTTATATAGGGAACAAAAAAATTAGAGTCTTCTAAATTATTGTTATTTTTTTGGTAGTGAAATTAGATTTTGAGATACAAAAATCTTATCTGAGTAAACTAACAAATCCAAAATATTATGATTGAATAATGATTATCTTGTTCTTCCCAGGGCATTAAATTTAGATTTGATTTTGATTTTATTGTTGTAGTAGTTTCTATTTGCTAGATATTTTCGATATTATGTTTAATAGTATTTAAAATTAAATATTTGATTTCCATATCTTTGAAACTCAAATCTAAAAATTAGGGATGTTTAGTTAGTTAATTTATTGTCGATTTGTTTCTAAAGAATTTCAAATATAAGATTGCAATCTTTCCAAATATATGGCTATTTATTAGGAGCATTAATAAGAAAGATTATTTAGGATTAAAATAGGTAACTTAAATATGGATAATAAAAGAATTAATTTCGTTTTAATAAATGTGTTAGTGTTATACTTATACCGATTGCCATAAAATCAGGTCGTTTTAAAGTCGATTTGTTTAAAAATTTCCTAAAATTCTTTATCAAAGATCCGGATAGAGTTAAACCCGGGTAAAACCCGGATCCAAATGAATTAATGCAAAAAATACCCTGTAAAAATGTATATGTAGATTACACATTTAGATATTGACCCGTGGGACAATTTTGACTTTTTAATTTTGTTCTTCATAAATTTATGATTTTCGTAGTATATAAAACTGATTGGTGGTGTATGGTTTTTGATAAATTTAGCTCTTATAGTTAAATGTAGTATTATTTATATTCATATGTATGACAAAATATTTCTTAAAGTAAATAAAAGGATTTGTAAAATTATTCACATACCAAAAATTCTGCCCATTTTCATGGATACGGGATCTTTGTTTAAACTGAAAATTATAGATTTTTTTTTCTTTTGATTTTTTGAACTTTTTATTAAAGTAAAAAAAGTATTTGTAAAATAATTCACAAACCAAAAATTCAGCCCGTTTCTATGGAACAATAAAAAGATTACACCAATTCCAAATCATTTTTTTTCAAAAGTGTTTAGTATAAATAAAGCAAGAGCCTTAAATTAACACATCAAATACCAAAAGCATAGTATAAATAAATACTTACATGGAAGAGTAACTCTTGGTGCATGAAAGTCAAATATTAATTGAAAGAATACGGTTATTTGAAAGAGCAAACATTGGCTTTCACATGTTCTCCTCAGGTACACATAATCCAGCCAAACATCTTCTTCTTGCAAACATAAAACATATAACGAAACAACAATATTTAATATACAGAGGAAATCTCTTCATCATATTTGAAAAAAGTCACTAACCCTTACATGTATACCATCTCTTCCTCCACTGACTTCCCTGCGGATCAAAGACCAACCTTAGAACTGCTTTACCCTCTTGTCCTTATGCTCCGGAAATCATTGTGCGAATTATGATGCTATCAAAATGCTCGTCGTCCTTCCTTCTCAATTCCAATTATCTTCATGTGTGAGTTTGAATGCACAGATGGGACGAAGGTCGGGCTTGAGGCTGGTCGGTAATAAAGCGAAAATTTCCAATTCCTGAATCCAAACACAAAAAATGAAAATATAACATTATATACTAAAAACGGAAACTGAGATTTTGAAAGAGAATAAGCCTAGCTTACCATCATTCTCTAAAGAGAAAAATAACAAAGCGTTTCACATGCAAACCCAGATTAATAATATAATTAGACTATTTTCACAATCTAATACATTATTGGTAATTAATATCTGAATAATGGAAATATAAATGCAGGTGAAGAACACGCGCAGTGGCGGTGGGCACAAGGAATCTGAGGCCGAGGAAGAAGCATATACCCCTACCCAATATCAATACGCCATGCCCTGGGAGGAACAATTTAAAGAAAAAACAATTAACATTCTACGAAAAAAAATCAATAAAATAAAAAGAGAGAAAGCACCACGTGGATAGCTACCTGGCGATACAGAAGGCTTTGTGTGTTTGATGTTGCGATTTCGGTAGAAGAATAAAAAGGCTTTGTGTGTTTGATGGTGGGATGAGAAGTGAAGCTAAAGAGTTTATATAGGCGTGGAAGATTAGGTTACGAAAGTAGTGGTGGCCAAGGTAAATATTCATGCTTTAATCTTTTTAATCAAATCATTCTAATCGGATTTTTTTTTTAGGAATATGCTTTAATTCCGATTTTGTATAGTAGTAAATAATTTCCTTAATTCAGTCGGTATGAATATTTGTCAACGATTTCTAAGGACAATATTTTAAAAAAAAAATCAAATAAAAACAATGAATGCTAAAGGTGAATGAGTTCAATCTTTGATTTCCATTTCATTGTTTTCTGATAGCATTAATGTCTCAAATTTGTTATCGTAATCTTAGGGAATATTGCCGTAAATCTCTGTATAGATATTTCATTGAAATATTTCAGCATTAAATGTTTTTTTAAAATGTATTTATAGCAAGTGACTAATATTCCTATAATTTCGATAAAAATGTATTAAATTGAGTTTGTTGTTTAGAGAAATAATTAATGGAAGATCCGATCGAGATATTCTTAAGATATCGAATTGAATATCGTCGGCCTATAATAAAATAATCGTTTCTGATTTCAAAATATTAACTTAAATAGAAATGAAATGAGGATTGTTGAGATGTTTTAGAGATTGTGTCGTTGAAAGTAATTAATTGAGAGAAAAAATGTCCGAATAGAGATTATAGAAAAAAAGAACCAATTAATGTGGGAAGAAGTTAAGGAAATAGAGTTTAAATAGAACTAGATCGTGACCCGCACGTACGTGCGGGGTTTCATATTTTAAGATATGTGTTGTATAAAATATATAATCAATTTGTTTGTTTTTCGGAAGTATTTTAAATTTGTTTTTTTTGTTTCTGTTTTGGGAATTAGATAATAGAATAGATACCATAATAGTAGAAATTAAATGGATATTTATATTCTGTGTGTTTAAATAAAATTTGTTACAAATTTTTTTTTCTGTTTGAATAGAATTAAAAGAAAAAATTAGTTACTTGTTTTTGGTGAATGATTGGATAGGTTTGCATGGTTTTGGTAAATAATCTATAGATAATTTGGTAAGTTTCAGATTTGGTGTGTTTTAGTTATAATCTTGTTTATAATTTTTTTATAGAATATTCGATTTTAATAAAATGTAAAACGATTTATTTGGTAATCCAAAATTATTGTTTATAACTTTATCCAAATTTAAATAAAAACTGTAGACCCAAATTTTAAAAAAGTGGCCCATAACTGTTATGTATCAGAATTTAATCTTGTATGGGCCGAAATATTTTTAGACCCAATTAATCTGACTATTGAAATCGATCCATGTTTTCGTTTTTGTTTGTATTTAATATATTACCGGATTTATGTTTTTTCATTTTGGATAGATAATTGTTAAAATAATTGTCTTATCGGTGAAAAAAAAACAACACCCTACAAATCTCAGGCGATTGTTCGATCGACGAATCAATTCCAAAATTGCCTGATAATCAAGCTATTACGTCTCCGTTTATCATCTTTTTATCTCAAATTCGGATTACTACAAAGAGGTAAGCTTTTTATTGATTCAGATTTAGGCAACTACTTATTTAAAAGATTTGTCAATTCGATTTCCACTCTTTGAAATTCTCTGTTTGAACATAGTTCTTTAACTATGATTGTCAAGAACCTAGATCGTTACATATATTCGATTGGGTTTTTATATTAAACATATGTCTCTTTTTTTTTCCGACAGATAATTGTTTTAGAAGAACTTTTGTCTTATAAAAGGAACCGGTTGCAAAGATGTATGATAATGAAGATACTACATCTCTGTTTATCATCTCTTAATCGGAAAATCTGAATTCTACAAAGAGGTAACCTTATAATTGAATCAAATATTGACTTTTACTATTTTCAAATGTTTCGATTCAAATTCCAATCTTAGAAATCTATATGTTTGAACAGAGGTATTGGGAAATGATTGTCAAAAAACCGATCTTATATGGATAAGTATTGTGAATTTCAGATCTAAATTTTGATTTCAAATATTTTTTATCAGCAAATCCCAAATCGTGACAGGTTAATTTGAGTGTGTTAACTATAAAACCAATCTCTTTACATAAATCGTCAGTTGTCCGATATAATATATTTTGAAATTCGCTTTTCTATAGATATTAACTATAGATTTTGTCCATAGTGAGTATGGCTAGGCCAATATTCATGTCAGAGTTTAATATTTATGAAAAAGAGAGGTTTAATGTAATCTTTTAAGCTATTCAGAATCCTGAAACAATGTAAAAGGTTTCTTAGATGATATATGTTAGCTACTGTTATATTATTTTTGTATAGTTGATAAAAACATGTTAGCTACTGTTCATACTATTTTAATTTGATACAAACTTTTAGAATACAATTTTTCTAAATTAGAGTTTCTAAATGTTAAATGTATACAAACTAAGCATAATCTCTGCGTTTAATGCTTATAGAGGTGGCTTCAAATAATGTCGTCTTTGGAGAAGATAGGACAACCCTATATAATGTTAAAGGTTAGTGAGATGATAAGGATTGACTATTTATTTTTAATTGTTATGAATAGAAAGCTACTCTTATACATTTAGAATTAGTAGTATTGTTATAGTCATTATATTTTTGGCATAGTATGTTAAAATGAGTTAACTATAAAGTCTATAATAGCTATTAGCAACACACTAATTTCTATTGTTTGATAATACTTAATCAAACTTACTGATTATGCACATGTAAACGATACCTTCATATAGCCTAATAAGGTATAAGTTTCCTCATTGTTTGATAATGAGTATACACCTTTACTACTGCTGTAAATGAAATAGTTTACATTTCATCTCCTCAAGATGATTAGGAGAACTCTCTGTTCTTGTCATATTTTCGTCGATCCAATGTTTTAACTGATTCTGCAAAGAAAAATATATTGTTGAAGTAAAACTGAATTAGATGAAAACCAAAATATGATCACAGAGGTGATAAAAATTGTTACCTCTTTTGGTAACAATCTGCTAAAAGGCATAGGTTTTGAAAAACTTCTTTGAACATATCACCCAAACTAATAACCTGACCAACCACATCTGAAAAATATATGAACAGGTATGAGTTAGATTTTTAGATCCTTCTTTAAACAATATATATGAAAATAATAGTAATGAAAAATACCAATCAAGATGTTTTCATCAAATCCTGTAACATTGAAAATGTCTCCAAAGTTAGCCAAATAAATAAATCTCGTTGGATTGAGAAAGATTGTGACTTATAATAGTCGTTTTCATGAGGGACATCTTAAGCCATGCTTTGTTGCCATGTACTTTCCCATTGATTTGGAGTTCACTTGTTGTTTCTTAATGGTAGAATGATTCAAAGTTCACTGTAAAAAGCAACAAAACTGTATTATGAAGTCGATCTATAGATGATAACTATTAAATTGAAGAAAGAATAAGTAAGTTGAGAATTACGGATGTATTAGCAAGAATCATCTCCATGGTCTCCCCGTGTATTGGTTGTATTGAGTCCACGACAATTTTCACTTGGATCTTCCATTTAGTTTTGAAAGGTTTCATGTCATCATGATTGGTGATGGGAAGATTTGCAGCCATTTTTTAAAAATGAGTAAGAAAGGTATAGATGTCGTTTGCTAGCTTAAGGAGTCTTGAAGAGGGTATTAGACATCATATATAATTTGTAGGAAAAGAGGTCGGCTAGGGTTACAAACTATTAGATGTAATTCATGTAAAGAATATGCTTGCGAATCTATCTTTTGAATATATATTTTAGTTATATTCTTTATTTGAGAGCTAATGAATATTGTGTTTATGTAGAATTTGGATTTTTTTTGGTAACTGAATGATAACAAAATTAGATATCACCTTAACTATTGGGATACGATTGTTTTGATAATATCTTAACGTTGGTTTTATGGTATTTTTTCCAGATTGCCAAATCTCAACCGTAAGAATCAAACCAAGGATAACTGTGAAGTAATAAATTGTTATGTTTTTAACAGTCCATTTTGGATCCATAGGATCCGCGTGTCAATCCAAAAAATTAGTCCAGGATCCGCGTGCCTTTCCGATCGAGTCGCCCATGATCCATGGGTATTTTGCTTTTAAATTATGATTTTGCCCTTCAACGATTTTTTTCATTTACTCTTTGATTGTAATTATTCCAATGGCATCTTTTGTAATTCTTTACCCTTCATAAGGTTATTTATTATTCAATGCTTCCCAATTAATAGTATAGATTTAAGAATTAATGACGTTTTTTATTACAACATTCCTTAAAACTCTTATCCTAGATCCAAATATGATTAAACCGGGTAAAACCCGGATCCAAATGAATTAATGCAAAAAAACCCTGTAAAAATGTATATGTAGATAATTTTTGTAGGGCCTTATAAAAATATTGTTGGCTTTTAGAGACAACTACAACATTCTTTTTAATGGTAAAAATCTAATTTAAAAGAATTTTTTTTTATTGCTTTAATTTTGCTTAGGGCACCCAAATTTATCGGGCCGGCACTGTGGTTACTTTCAAGCTTTTAACCTATGGCTGCATTCTTTCATATCATTTGGTCCCAATATCTTCAGATGCATCCAAGGATATGCTTGTTAGCATACAGAAACTTGAATTTGATAATGTGACACTTTGACCCAAAAAAAAATATAATATGTAACACTATATATATTGATTCTCATGCATGGTAGGTGCCATCACCTTATATAATATTGTATCTTTTTTTCTTCTTTCTTTTGTATTCAACTTTTTAGGATTCAAATCCCTTTCTTTATACTGTTCAATTGAGCAGATAACCATACAAATAAGTTATCTTTGTTTGAAATAAGTAATTATTGGGGGTTGCAAATAGTAATTTAACCAAATTTTAAAAATTCAAACAACACCAAAACAAATACAAAAATGAGAACAAAAACACACCAACTTGCTTCAAACATACATTCTTGTGGTACTTGTGTTTCAGATTTCTCAAGCTGCAGAAGGTGCAGCAGGAGAGTAGGAAAGTGGTGCTTCCGAAGCTATAATTGTTGATTTCGAAAGGGTTGCTTCCAAATCTGCAGGGTTTTTCGGTTTGAAATCAAGAGACTCGTCGTTATAGATATCCCACCATTTCCTAATTAACATCTTGACGTCTTCCCTGTCCATGTTAGGTTCTTCTCCTGTGTACCTCCATGGCTTGGATCCCTATCATTTTCATTTCACCATTAACCGTCAATAGATGTTAAAATGCAAGAGAAAGCATTGGCAAAATTATCATCATGTTCATACAAAAAAAAAGAAAAGAAAACCTCATGTCCAATTTTAAACGTAAATGCATTCTCATATAGGACGATACTTTAATTTATGAAGAGAAAACCGAAACTTTGGAATAAAGTAAAATATTAACTCATATTTCTTTCGTTTCACAAAAGCTATATTTTGAAAAAAAAAATCATTTTAATCTTATTTATGTAACGTAGTAATAAGAGAGACTGTATTGTTTAGTGTAAAATTATGCTCTCTTTAACCGAGCTTTGTGGCCTAGTGGTAAAAGGGTAACAGTTGTGACTTCCGCCACCAGGGTTCGAGGCACGGCAACTGGCAGGTTTACATAGGGGAATTGCCTTCCTCGTGGAATTAGTCCTTGGGCCTAGGAAGTCTTTGGGAGACCCACGGTTATTCAAAAAAAACAAAAAACAAAATTATGCTCTTTGTGAAACATAAGGAGTACTATTTGCAACAAAAACACAAACATCATTTAATAAACAAAACTCAATCATCAAAAAAAAATAACACTCACGACTGCAGTTGATCTTTAGCTTTTAAACTCTTCTTTGATTATATATTTTTAATATTGTGAAAATAAATATATGCATAAAAAGTGAGAACATTCTATGTTTTGAATTAAACAAAATAAAAACTAGAAAACATCATATTTTTTAGAGTAACATTTTACAAAAGATAACTATACACTTTTTGTTAATTATGTTCATGTCTTATCATGAGGACATTATTTTTTGTCAAAGGTTTTTAATACTTGAGTTATTGTAAGCACGTCTCTTTACAGGTTTTATTTCATCTTCTACGAGGTAATAGAACCACTAATGGTTTTATTATTGATCACAAATGTCATTTAGTGAAATCCCACAAATGTCATTTACCAGTTTCCCATCCTTAGGGCTTAAGAAAATGTACTTACAGGTGGACAGTAATGAACAACTTTGACTCTCTCCAAGTCAACATTCCCAGGATGGCGCCAAAGCACAGAAAGAATCAGGTTGTAAACCGGAGAGACCGGTTTAAAAACTTTCTCAAAGAACATATTGAGAAAATCCTGCCAAAATCCAACAGAAAATACCAAAATCATAAATCAAAAAACGATTTGGAATATTATATAAATCGAAACCCTAATTTACTTATCAACAAAATTGATGCATATATATGTCACTCACTTGCTCCGCAAATGGTGTAGGCGGTGTGATCTGGAGGGTATGAAGGAGACTCTCATACGTCAAAGGATTAGGCTCAAAGACAAACATACCAGCATTGAAGTATGGAGGAGGACGAGCAGATTTCATTTCGGCCGGCCACATGACCTTCTCTGGACAATATTGACAATAACCGATCGAGTAGAGAGGAGTGTAACTCCATATTTTCTCACAGAAACAACTCAACACGCCATGTACATAGCCATCTTCCAAATCGAAGAGGTCATCGATATTGTCAAAGACTTGAATATCTCCATCTAAGTAAACCATCTTGTTGTACTCTTCAAACTACAAGATTATAAGTCCCATTATTAATACACCTATTAGAATAATATGCATATATAGTTAACCTTTGTTAAAAAATTTGCATCAAAAATATAAAATGACGTTCTTTGTAAAACAATAACCAAATCCTATAACATAAGGGAGGGAATATAATTTTATAGTCTAAATTCAAACGCAAATATCTTTCAGTTTCAAAATTCTTATAAAATACTTTTGTAAACTGTAGAAGCTATAACCTGAAATAAAAATTTACAAGAAACTATTACCAATACACAATGTTTATATATTTTAGCAACAAACAAATAATATTTATATACACATTCTTCAAAGATAACAAACCGAGGCTCTCGTTGTCATGAAGTCTATATATATATACTTACGTTCCAAATTCGCAGTTTGGAGTAGTTAATAACGTAATAAGCCCTTGCGTATGCATCTTGGCTATCTGGAGGATGAACAGGCTCGATCTCACGTACAACGCAGCCTTGAGACCTCAAGATCTCTCTATGTTCCTCAGGCACATCAGGTAACGTAGCAACAACAAGAGGATACGCACTTTTGACTTTCCGCAAACCCTTTGCTAATCCCACCACTCCCTTCACGTAGTCTCCATTTCCTGCCAAAAACGTCACGTATGCTCTCTTCTTATGAGCCTTCTCGGATGCATGGATCATGTCCACATGAGTTTCAGGGGCCATTTTGATCAAAAGGAAAATGTAGAGGTGGGTTTTCAAATAAAAGCAGGAGGATAGTTCTGATGAAGAATGAGAATATGCCAACTTGGTCACTTGGGCTCTTGGCTTTGTAGAAGTTTATTTGAAAACTACCACAAACGTTTTGATTATATAAGCGTAGAAAGAGATAGGTAGATCCCAGGAAATTTTAACTACGGTTTATTAACATTGTAACTTTTAATTAAGTAACATAATGAAGTAAACTTTCATTATGTTCTGATTGCTTATGAGTTAAACGATATAATTATTTTTCATTTTTTCTCATGAATTATATTACACTTACATTTTTTTTTCCCTAGAACTCACATGCATTAAACATTTTCTTTTTTCGCATGCACTAAACATGATTCGAAGTAAAACCCAAATTGTGACATCATAGAGCACCAATGGACTATGACATTAGATTTTTCATTTTTATTTTTCACTAATTTATAATTAATTATGGAGTATGACATAAAATCTATAACAAATAAAAAAGATAATGGAATCGTGAATAGTCCAGTTTAAAAACAACGTTTCTAAATGAAGATAAAACCATAAAATATAGATTTCTTCCTAGTTTGATGATCTGCATACAGTATTTCGTATGTAAATTTTGTAGTTTGAATAAAAAAATTCTTTTTTTTTTCTTATTTCTTATGAGGTACATGAACATGATACAGCGAAATTGTTTTTTTTTTTTTTTTTAAATCTAATATTAAATTATATTCAAAAGAAAAATAAGATCGTTTTTACAACTTGTGCAACGGGTATTTGAAAAAAGAAGTTTAGAATAACTTGGTAGAGAAAGATCTTAAACACGAGCTCTTATCCATGCTTGGTAGGCTGTTTCATATCGGCTATCTCCCTGTATGCGGATTGCCGAAATCCGGTTTCTGACTTGCTTAACAGTGATGTATAAATAATAATTGAATTTTCTACGGTATATAATATATACAATTTGCTCAAAAAAAAAAAAATAATATATACAATATAATACCGGTCGATGTAGAAATGAAAGGAACCCTTCTTTGCGTTTGGCTTAATCATGGGATGATGTAATTACGATATTTTATTTTTATCTCGGTGAGAAGGACTTTTAATTATACTTAAGCGGTACCTGCGTTCCATGAAGTGTTGAACTAAATATTGTAATTAACCATACCGTGTTTTTTTTTTGGTGAATTAACCATACCGTGTTGAAAATTCTTTTTGTAGATTAAGAAAAATAAAACCATTAAAACGAGACAGATAATTTATCTTGAATCACCTTCTTTTTTTTTTTTTTTTTTTTTTTTTGTAAACATCTTGAATCACCTTCATCAATATATTATACACTACAAATCAATTTTCTCAAACCCATTTAAATATTTAACTATGTAGTAAGATTTTTATTTTTTTTCTAGTTTCCCGTCAATTGTGATTATTTTACTAATTTAAATGTGGAAAACATCATACCGGTGTTCCAAAGCTTTTACGTTACTACTTTTTTTTATTAGCATGAGATTCATCGGTCTATTTGATTTAATTACTCTTCAACCGACGGACCAACTCTAGGCATGTTTCACAAAAAAAAAATAGTATAACCTAGTCAATGATCAATAAAGTATCGTTTTTTTTTATATATATACTATAACAATTGATACAAAAAAAAATCAAAAACACATGGTAAAGATTTGTAGAAAATTCCATTTAAACATTATAATTTAACCACCGGTCGTTATGAATAGGTCATCGCATAATATTAAAATACCAGCCTCTAGCTAGCATAAGTACTTAAATTTATATCTATACCTAAATTAATTTGTAATCCATTTTCCTATTCATAGATATACAAGTCCAATACAAGTCGTCCGAGTTTATTGGATTACCGTACTCGTATATATTTTTTATACGACCATGTTCTATACGAATTAAACAAAGTTATGGCATTTGATTTTGAACAAACATACATATAAAAACACATTTCCAAACTCTCTATATCACTTGACAATATTAAGACTTTGACTAGTAAGAAAATAACAACTCCGTCAAACAAAAATGGAGAAAATTCAACTAAAACCTTACTAGTGAAGAGGTAAATAAAGAAATTAAGAAAAAGTCACGAAGACATTTTCTGTAAATGAATTAGAACTCACTTTTTAAGACTTCCCCGATCAAGTGGAACTAGAAGTCAGCATTCTATTCTAATATCCAAGAGAAGAAATCAAGTGGAACAAGTCAGCGCACGACGAAGACAAAAGAATAGTGTGTCGCACGAATGATCACGTGACTTCCACAACCCTTTATCGAAGAAAAAATTAAAAGACATATTTTTTGTTAGTAAACCAATGAGAAATTTTCAATAAGTCGTGAATAATTTTCAATAAACCCATTTATGGTTTTCTATAGTTATTATATGGTTGATTGGTTTGATTGATTTGTGTTCCATGTTATTTGTTTATGATAGTATAAGGGTTTGATTGGTTCTCTTATTACGGCAGTTGCGGTTGATAGCGTTTAAAGTCAATCGTTTTAAACTGTTCTGGACCGTTTTATACCATTCAAAATCGTTGAATTTCAAAAATTTATTTCCGCAAACGTTTGCGGTTGTATATATATATATATATATTAACATTAATTCTCAAAACTCTAATGTTTAATGGTTTAAGCTTTAAAAAAATAGATTTTATTTCTCTAAAAGTTTAATTTGAATTTTTGAAATTTAAGTGTTGGATTATAGCTTTGAGGATAATAAATAAATTCTTGGGTTAGAGCTTTAGTGTTTTATGGTTAAGAAAATGACTAGATTTAAAACTATTAGGGTTAAGTTCTTAAAAATATCTTGATTGTTCTAGAACAAAATAAAAAGTAATTAGTAGAGATTTAAATTTATAAGTAAATTGTTTAAAAATATATATTTTTAAATGTAAAGGTTATATGTATGTAGATGATTTTAAATATTAGAGATAATTGTTTGTCACATTTTGAATAAAACATACGATTTTCCTACAAAAGAAATTAGTAGGAAACATTCCTACCAATGTCGTACGAATTTCTTTTGGTATAGTCTTCGTAGAAAATTGGAATGAACTGATTTTACTAATTTCCTACGAAATTCCTACCACGTATTTTCTCATCAAACTCCTTCCAATTTCCTACAAAATTCCATACGATCATATACTTTGTAAGAATTTCGTAGAAAATTTTCTACGACTTTCTTACGATTACGTTTCATAGAAATTTTCTACCATTTTTCTATGACACCTGTTTTTTTTGTAAGAAAGTCGTAAATATGTGGTAGGAAATATGTCCTACCAAAAAGTTGGTAGGAAAATTAGTAGGATTATACAATGTTTTTTTTGTAGAATTAATTAAACTTATTTTTGTTTTTTTATATTAGGTGGCAGATTGGTTAGAAAAAGAAAGAGCGAATAAAATGGTTCACTCCTAGAAATGAATCAAAGATTGTTCATATTTGACAGCGGAATGCTAGCAGTTTATGGCCTAGTGATTATGTGGTTGAAAACAAAAAAATAATTTTAATGTTCACTTTCAATTTGAGAATTAAAAGTTTTGAAATTAAAGTAAGAGCCATTTTTTTAGTCTATGTTTATTTTTTAGTCTTCTATTGAACCCTTGAACACAAGAAATCTTAGTACCGGTTAATTACCCTATTTGGTCGAGCAAGATATTTGCGTACGAATAAGTCATAATCTAAAAGCAACTCTAGTTCTCTACTTGTTGATTTCTATGCCAACAATACAAGCAACTTCAGATCCATATAATACATATTCATTTTCTTAATATCTCTTTGCCGAGAAAATATAGTTAAGAAGATTAAGAGTATTAAGAACACATACAAGCACATAAAACAGATCAAGTCTGGATTTGTTCAGATCTTCTCCACCTAACCATTGATGGCCAAGCCAGCCCGAGACTGCATTGGTGATGGCCACAAGAAGTGAGCTAAGGAAAAAACCCATTGCAATGGAGCACCACCCCAATGCTATGCTCATACTCTTCATACTCGCTGGAGCTTCTCTATAGAAAAACTCTTGCATCCCTCCCAAGGTCAATATATCCGAGAAACTTAGCATGAGATACTGAAACATTAGCCAGAAAACAGAGATTCTAACGTCATTTTGAACCGCCTCGTGTTTCCTCTTGGCCTCAACAATGGCTGCAACCGCCATTGAAATAGAGGAGAGGGTCAAGCCGAGTCCAATTCGTTTCAAAGAGAAGCTTGATGTTCTGTTGATACTTTTCCCGAAGAGTTCATATAAGGATATGAAAGCGAGAATGAAGATGATTGAGATGACATTGAGGGAAGGTACGGGAATCTCCATTGAAGAAGAGATTTTTCTGCTCATGGTCATGCCTTGTTGTACGGTGAAGGTCAGTAATTGTGCCACACAAGTATTCATGACAATCGTGCTAAAAAAGATTGGTAGGAGACCGATAAATGTTCTTGTTTCTTCGACTTGTGTTGCTGAGATGTTTTTGTTCAACAATGCTTTATCTAAACACCTAAAAAGAAAAATATTAGGTTCACAAAATAATCAAATCTCCGAAATAAAATTATAGCCTTGGTAATTAGTACTGTTTGTTAGTTTTTTTAGTTAGAACTAGGTTTCTGAGCCAGCACATCACATAATACAAAAACAGAACATGTAGTTTTAGAAGACTTACTTTAACTTGTTGTGGTGATGAATATTGTTGTCAGTAAATGTGAGGCTTTGCATCATCTCTACATCCAAAACAGAACCATTGCGATACCTTGCGGCAGAAATAAACACATTTGCAATCCTTGTCAAGGGACTTCCACTAGGACGTTTCAATCGATACAAAGGTAATCCTAGTGCAAAAATACATAGCGCAATCGCTAGAAGCACAATTGATATATTGAAAAGCTCTTTGATCCAAGCCATAACGGTTATAGCCATGAGCCATCCAAAGCAGACAAAGAAGTAGTACCAATTGAAGAATTTCGAGATCTCTCTTTGGTGTCTACTATCAAACTGATCACCTCCGTGTGCAAGCAACGAGGGCCTAGTACCGCCCGTACCAAAGGCGAACAAATAAAGTCCCGTGAAAAGAACCGTTGATTGAAGAGTTGATGGTGTATTATTTCCCTCAGGTTGTAGATTAGGGTAATGAGCTTGAAATGTCAACACAAGCAAACCCTATCAAAAGGATTAAGCTTCTAATTAAGTTAATTGGTTTACTTCATTTTCAGATACAAATCTTGATCGAGTATATTACCAATATTTCAATGGAACAGAAGATGATGAAAGTTGTGGAGCGAGTGACGAACGAGTCAGTCACGAAACCACCAAAGAGAGTGAGCAAATAAGATGTTCCAATGAAATTGGTCACCATGTTTGCTGCTTTGGCTGGTGAGTAATGCATTGATTTCATGAAATATAACACCATGTTGTTTCCAATAGCTATGGACACCATGATCTCCAGTAGCTCCACAACTAAATTTACACTCACCAAAATATATATAATACATCTTTTAAAGCATTAGTATTCAAAAAAGATGTTTTAAGTTTAAAGAAAAGGGTTTACCATAAGCAATAGAAGCAGCTCTAATCCCACCATGTTTGCCAGGGATTGTATCTCTTCCTCTCCAATCTATAAATTTTTCTTCCAATATCTCATTTTCCATCGTTAATCAACTAGACTTTTATGTGTTCTTAATTTCTGTTGAAGATGTGGTTTATATAGGTTCGAATATACTTCTTTATATTGTAACATAACATTTACATCTCAAACTATTTTGAATGACATTTATATATATAAGAACGAAAATATAGATTATTTCTAAAATGTTTGAGATACGAGATTTATCTCATATTGCCAAATGTCAGGTTATCTTATCTTATGATATGGACAATCTACATCCATTTGTATAGGGCATGTATCTACACATATTAGTTTAATGTATCAAATAACAATGTTTGATTTCATTTTCATAGGATTTATCTTTTTATTTTACACACTGAATAGATGGCATGAGACATAATGTTATTTAATCTTTTATTTTAAATATTTTCTCCATGTTTTTTTCTAATTTATTTGTTGGCTTTTTTCATCCATTTTTTCAAAATAAAAGTATTACTATCAAATTGTACTTAGAAAAATTGAGTAATTATTTCATTATATAACTTTAAATATCCTATCAAAGTGTTAAACATTAATCTAAATTAATTTCATCAGATTTGAGCTTATCTGGTAATAACACATTAAATAAAATTATATCTTATAGTTTAATTACTTTTTTTTTTGAACATAATTTAATAAAGTCTTATATCCAAATAATGATGAATTATAAATCATTTTGGTTTCCTTTTATTTATTTTGACACTACTTGTAGAGTGACAGTAAAGGGTGGAGGACCTGCCATGGAAACTATAAGGGGACTCAGATTTCAAAAATTTGGCGATAGGCGGGACAATTTCGAAAGCGGAGGACCTGCCATGGAAACCACCGCTCCGGTTCCGAAGCTTCTTCTACAAGTAAGTCACCGATCATCTTCACCACTCTCTGATCAATCATTCTCCGTTTTCACAGTTTTCGATAGATTTTTCTCTTTTTAAAATTTTCTGTCCTGAGAAATTCGAATTTCTGCAGTTAATATCATCTGCTTTTCAAAGATGCCGTTTATCAGAAGATCTCTGTAGATTATCAGTTCTTCTTGACCAATCTACAAACAATGATCCTCCGATTACATGTATTTCGAGTAATTTCACTCTCTTTGGCCCTAATTTTGTTTTCGATTCTGCGTCACTTCCATCGCTAAATTGGTCGCATTATCTATCTATTTGATGCTGTGTATAGTTGCGGATACGGGAATTGGATGCAATTTGGAGGAATTTCAGATTTTGAGGTGCCCTAGAGAATTCAATGGAGCCAAGATTTGGGGTCAGTACATTATTAGCAACTTGAGTATTCGATTATTGATTCGTTAAAGCGATTCTGATTGTGGATAATGATGTGATGCAGATGGGTTACTCTCCGTCAAAACGACTTGTAAGTTTTGCTATAAACCTAAAAGCTTTCTTATGGTTTCAAATGCTTTAATTTTGTCCTGCATTTGCTTATAAGTTCTCAATGGAGAAACATATCTTGATTTTCTTGCTGGGTTATATGATTGATTTGTTAGTTGTCTAGATTAAGTTCGAGTCCACGAAGCTGAGTAACTTGTTATTGTTCTTCCTCCACTGTGATCATGGAAATGCAGGCTTTACTGACGATGAGGTATACTATTATCATATAAATCTTGATGAGTATATTGCAAACAAACGACTGAAAAGACAACCTTCTCAGGCTAAGAATGGTGCAAAGTTTAGGTGTGCAAATTCCTCAGTTTATATTATTTCTTTACTAATTGTTAAGCCACTGTGAGTGCCTTGATTTTGTTATATATTCGGGGTTTTTTTTTTTGTTTTCAGTGGGACGGAAGTATCCCTGACTGTTTTTGGAAGTATGGATGTTCTCGTGGCACCGATAATTGGCTTCTTTCAAAAGGTCTTCCCTTCTGTTCTGCATCCTTGATTCTCTTTAAGCTGCTTATTTTCATCTGAATTCAAGTATACTTATTGGTAGTTAGTGTTCAGAATATGAGAAAACGTGACCGTAGAAACAACATTTCAAAAACACTGCTAACAACTTGTTATAGAACCAAGATAAAGAGCAAACATATCCCATCTTTAAGGGAGGAAGAGCGGTTCTGAATTCCATTGGCGATATTGGTCAATTTGGGATGGCAGTTTATGTTTGAAGTCTTTGAAGGACGCTCTTTAGCTAACCAGTATCTAAGATACTGCTTTAATTAGGTCAATAAATGACTCAGTGCCATGTTTAGTGGTTATATTTAGCCTTTCGAACTTTTCATTTTGACAATCTTGCTTATCTTTTAAACTGGTATTGTCGGCCTTCTGGCACTATCACTTGAGTGTAGTCAGTTTTGTTTCCTCATGATTGCTTAATGAATCCTGTAATGATATTTCTATCCTGTTATCTTGCAGATGCTTGTTCTGCAGATACCTGTAAGTTCAAGTTTCTCCCTTGTGACAATTTTACAATTTCGTCTAGAAAGTTGTTTTCCCTTGTTAAACACATGATAATATAGTAACAGAACTAACAAATCATGGAACTAAAAAGCTGGTTCTTTTCTTCCTCTCAGAATGTCACAATGGATCTGATGGTTAAACAAGGGGATTCTCCTGGTAATCAAACTCAATATGTCTTTGCAGTGAACGCTGACAAAACTCCATGCTTTACTGCCTCCAATCTTGAACGGTTGAAGTCTGGTCTTGAGGACTATGTTTTAAGGCATGGAAACTGTTTGGATACGATGTGTGACTATTGCTTTTCGGATAGGTATATAAAATGTAACACCATTCTTGTTTCTGGCACACTTACGACTTAACTTAGTTCAGCTTAAGAATTCTCAGTCAATTCATTCCACAAGTTATGTCTGACAATTCTGGGTATATTTACTTTCAGAGAGCATCTGAAAGCTGGAAGTGGAACACTATGCCAGGAAGACAAACATAAGAGAGTTGGAGGGACGATGGAAGTGGTGATTGTGATAAGTGACTTGCTAGAGACAACTCAGCATTGCAGCAGATCCTGCGATGGAAAAACAGAGGTTTGTTTAGTCTCAAACTAATACTATTGAGATGTAACGTATGAGTGGCTGATCTAAAATGATGGATTTCCCCAGGTTTTATACTTTGACAATTTCTCACCTTCCCCTGTTCCACATTTGGCCTTGAGCGCATTGAAAAAGATTGACTGGAAAAATTATGGTTTGATCCTGGCGAATGTGAATGATCAAGATGGACATGTGTTTCTCGAGTGGGAAAATTTCCCTTCTTATGTTCAAATACAAATTTCCCTCCATTGGTATCACAATCAATATCCAGCAAGACAGAAGAATGGGCCTGGTATAAGTTTTTTGAAGAAAGGAATGAAAAATGCTTTGGATAATTTGAAGGCTAAACATGAGGGTTTTCTTCTAAGCTCACATGCTCGTAAGGTGATCTCTCGGTCTATCTCTTTTGTTGTTAGTGACAATCTCTTAAATTTATACAGGTTTGACCAAGATTTTGTTGTTGTTTATCTTTCTTAGATTTGCAGCTATGTCCCTGACCTTGCAAGATCAATAGCAGGCCTAATATTCTCCTCTACTGATTTGGACTTCCAAGGAGATTGCCTATCTGTTCTTGGATTTCAGACTCAAAAAGTTGAACGTGACACAGTCGAGGACTATATCCAGAGAAAGATCGTGACCGTTATAGGAATGAATGAGAGGAAACCTCAGAAAGACCAAGAAGCTGCTCCTTTTCTGTTTTTTGATGGCGAGTCTGAGACATCATTCTTTGAAGATGAGGAAGTAGAAGGTGAGTATTACTCTAGCTCTCTGGAATGATACATGTGCTTCTGACAACGGATACAGTAGATAGTAAAATTGTGAAATTATATGTTACGGATTTGCATCTGTTATTGCTTCCACGGTTCCACCTATGGTTACAAATTCTCATCGTTTTGGATAGACTTGTGTATAAAAGCTTTACATGATCTATGTTTAAGAATCTGCAAGCTGTTGTGTTCTTGAGATATAGTTTGTCCAAAGCCAGTAACACAATTTTGCATCACTTCTCTATTTGTTTTCAATCACATTCAGATCGAGAAAATTCCACGCATGAATATGATGCTACGGAAACTAAAATCAAGCTTTATACAGTTCAAATGTCTGGCCACTATGCTGCAGGAATAGTGAATAGGGCACTTTGTGATTAACAGGCTTAACATTAGTAGTATATTTTTTCTGTACAGCTTCACAGTGATATATGTTTCTGATCCGTACATAGATATAGCAATACAAATACTTCATTTCCTTAGTAATTTAACACCTTACACACTTTAGCAATACTATTTGAAAACCTCTCGGGTCGAGAAAAGGACTCACCAAGGTTTCTATTTCTGCTTATACTATTTCAAACTATGTATACAGATCAAAAGAAAACAGATAGAGGAACACACCAAGTCTTGTGCACTTCCCTGTAAGACATCTCAAGCAGCGGAAGGTGCTGGGAAGTAGGTAATTTCTGGTTCAAGTACCGAAGCTAGGATGCTCGATTTTGTAACGGTTTCTTCCACATCTGCAGGGATTATCGATTTGAAATCGAGAGATTCATCATTATAGACATCCCACCATTTATCAACTAACATCTTGATGTCTTCTCTGTCCATGTTAGCTTCTTCTCCTGTATACCTCCATGGCTTGGATCCCTGTCAATTTCATCATCAACATGTAAAGGAATCATGTTTCAGCAACAAGCTAAAGAGGTTCGGGTTTGAAAGCAAAGACAGAACTACTTACAGCTGCACAGTAGTGAACAACTTTGACTTTCTCCAGCTCCACGTTCTCTGGGTGACGCCAAAGCATAGCCAGAACCAGATTGTAAACTAGAGGGATCGGTTTGTACACTTTCTCAAAGAACATATTGAGAAAATCCTGTCCATCAAAGTTACAAAATCCGAAACTCATTAATATCAGGTCTTGATTTTGATTTTGGAGCATTGGAAAACCGATGAACTAATTGTTACTCACCTGTTCTGCAAACGGTGAAGGTGGTGTGATCTCCAGGGTCTGAAGGAGACTCTCGTAAGTCAAAGGACTAGGCTCAAACACAAACATACCGGCGTTGAAATACAGAGGAGGAGGTGGAGATTCCATATCTTCTGGCCACGTGACCTTATCCGGGCACTGTTGACAGTACCCAATTGAATACTGCAGCGAGTGGCTCCATGTTTTCTCACAGAAACAGTCCATCACGGCATGGAAATACCCATCAGGCAAATCGAAGAGTTCATCGATGTTTTCAAAGACTTGAATATCTGCATCAAGGTATATCATCTTGAGGTACTCTTCAAACTGCAAGAAGTTTCAAAGGTCAAAAACCACAAAGATCTTTTAACCACATATCTTAAAGTATATTTTTGTAAAGAACTTACGTTCCAAATACGAAGCTTTGAGTAGTTGAGAACATAGTAAGCCATGGCAAACTCAACTTGGTTTTCTGGAGGATAAACAGGCTCGATCTCGCGCAGGATACAGCCTTGAGACCTCAAGATCTCTCTATGTTCCTCAGGCACATCAGGTAACATAGCAACAACAAGAGGATAAGCACTTTTGACCTTACGCAAACCCTTTGCTAATCCCACCACTCCCTTCACGTAGTCTCCATTTCCTGCCAAAAACGTCACATAAGCTCTCTTTGGGGGTGCTTGATGCGCCTTTTCGGATAAGTAGATTGAGTTTACGGGAATCTGAGGGGCCATTTTGTGCAAAGTAAAAGTATTGGGGTGGGTTTTTGAGAAGATAATTGAAAAGTTTTCTTGAGTGTTTGAGAAGTAAATGAACAATTTGGTCTCCAAGGATATGTAAACTTTTAGTTACTTTGGTCTTTGGCTTGTGAGTAGTTTCTACGAAGGCTTCCACAACGTTCGATTAAATAGGCGTAGCACAAAGGGTAAATCCGGAACAAATTAATTAATGAATATATTACTTTTCTTTTTTCGATATTGTTTTCTATTAATTGCTATTTATATAAGTTTTACATTTCAAATATGAAAATCAACCTTTGGCTTTTTTTCGTGGGTGATGTAACTAGCGAAATGAAAGGTCAAATATAGCTTAAGAAAAATTCTTGACGTATAGAGAAAGATTGCGATGAATTTTTTTTTTTTTTTTTTTTTTTTCATATTTCATGAATTTTAAATTTTAAAACTGATTATTGGCAAAAAAAAAAATTAAAACTGATTGCTTAGCACGTAAAAACTTGAATTCAAGTTCACAATTTCTTCCTGTGTGTATATGTTCCGATTTATGATCCATTTTAATTAATAGTATTTGGATGGCAATAACAAAAAGAAAAGTTTAAAAGAAATTTAAAAAGTTAAAAGTGAAAAAGGTAGAATTAAAAAAAATATCGAGAAATTTGTAAAAATCGTTTTCGTAGATTAAGAAAATATTTTAACGAAAAGGCAAAAGGGGTGATAATATAATAAGATTGGAAGACGACCATGAATTCCTCGTGGAAGGTCGTTAAGGCTCCAAGGATGTGGCATGCGTGTGTAATTATGTTTTCAGACGTTAGAACAATTATGAATTATACGAATTTATTATTATTAAATAGGTGAACTTATTTAGATACAAGTCTATAATCGATAACCATTTAATTATAAATTATTTCGCATTCTTTTTTTTTTTTTGATAAAATTTCTTTCGCATTCTTTTTTTATTCAACTTCTGTTTTACAAAATTAAATAATATAAGTTTAGTATTATAAACAGAAATTTTGATGATTAATGTATTAAAAGAAAAACTCACGTGTTCATAACGTATAATACACCCACGTACAAATATTATATATACGTACATTCACATATATAAAGTTCATGTATCTCTAGACTCTGACTAAACCATCTTTACGAAAATATTTTTGTGCATACTACAACTCATGTAAATGTTTTATTAGTGTATATAAAAAATAATATACTAATATATTCCCAAAGGGTACTACATAAGAAAAAAAACATTCAAGAAAGTCTTGGTATAAAAATGCACAAAAAAAAAAATTACAAACAAAAAGAGAGTTTCGGTTTAGATAAACAATATAACATGAGAATAAGATATAACGACGGAAGTACAACAAAGTAAAATGGTAATTCACTACGGTCTACGGTAAAAGTGTTTTATCAAAATTTAATTTATTTCAAATAAGGAAGAAAGCGGAGAAAAATATAAATTAAATAAAAATATTTTTTAATTTCTTTTTCTTGATGAATGTTAATTTATTCAAATAAAAACCAAAATTACATAATATGCATGCATCCCTTCATCTTAAAATGCTGAGTTTAATTTGAAAAATTTAGAGAAAAAAAAAAACAAAGTACACCAAAATAGAGTCTAACACAATTCAAATCTAATTTTGGGATCTCTTGCAACACATCCTCTAGTTTGTCGTTGCTCTGTGTCTTTCCTGTCGAGCATTGGTTATGAACAATGCAGTCGATGGTTTTTAGAAGAGAAGACGGAGAGAGTGGTTGTCTTTATACTCCATGACGTCTTATTATTTTTCTCTCTGCATAGTATTATACTTTTTTCTCAAGAAAGTTTATGAAATCAATGAGAGTACCTCGTTGAATAAGAGACATGTCGGTATTTTATGTCATTTCATTTGTTGAATTGATGAAGAAACATTTGTAACAAAAGTTATATCAAAGGTTAGTAGCTAATATGCTCGGTTGCAATTATATCAAAGAGAATAGAATCGACTGAATAGCATATATGCCTAAAATATTAAAGGTTAGTCCAGATTTAAAAAAAATATATGATGATTTTTGAAACGAGATTTCATAGTTAAAAAATAAAATAAAAATGAAAATATTTGTAGTTTCTACGAGTGTGACTCGTATAATATATAAAAAAAGAAAAGAAATAAAAAGAAAACAAAAATAAAAAGTATAAAAATTTGTATTACCCTTTTACATTACTTTCTGATGAATTAGGAAGAAACAAAATTCTTCCGTCTTCTACTTAATTAGTAAAATTTTAAGTATAAAATAGAAAGTATAAAATAGAAGAATTCTTCTTAACTTTTCTTCTATATAATATTACCAGTCACATCCTATGAGTATTTGGTTTTATGCGGCTTTTGCCAAAAGAATTTATTCCCTCTGTTCCAAATTATAGGATGTTTTAGTATTTTTTCTTTGTTTCATTTTATAAGATTTTCCCAGATTTCTATGTATATTTATGTTTATTTAGTATGTTATGATCATTTAAATTCTGCAGTCCTTTTTTCTATTAGCTGAATTCCTATAAAAAAGTAAATATTAATTATTTTTTAATCTTTGTGTTTTTACACAAAACATTTTATAAAATGAGAGAATATAAAATAGAAGGAAATGTGTATTTTAGATCGAACACAAACAAAAGCGTTGGTATTAGAGTCTTTATCAGGTGACCTTTTATGTCTTTTTTTAATTAACAAATGAAACAATGTGTCCAAATTCCACAATTATATTGTTATTTTACGTAAATGCTATTGTCGGATTGGTGGGTCTTATTAGACTACTATTATTTAATGTCGGTTGGCTCTTCTAATGTATTTTATTTATAATTGACTTATAGTCGTCGTCCACGTAGTTCTTTAGATTTTATATTTCTAAGAAAAAAATACATATTAAAAGGGTAAAAATATAACGGTTGAATATATACGATCTATCCCAATTTTATTCCTCACACGATTTACTTACACTTTTAATATTTTTGTGTTTTAACCAAAAAAAATTATCATTATTCACTAAACATCATAAAATCTACGTAATTCGATATATGTGAAATACCATATTTTGTTTAATAAACTGATAACCACGTTTTATTGAACTGTGATTACTGTTTTTGATTCGAATTGATTTGATATGATCCGAATACCCTAAGATTTGATTTGATTTGATCCAGAAGGTCTTTGTCAATTTTAATTTCCAAATCTTGTAGACCATTGTCGAATTTTTGATAATTGTTAAGCAACTAACCATCGAGAAATTTATATCATCCAACAATAATAACACATCATATATTTCACAAAAAGTCTTAAAACCAGTTTCCTAATAATATTATAAGAGATTTATCTTAGAGAGACCATTCAAATATTTTATACTAGTTCTTAGAAAGAAACTGAAAAATAACAATAAAATTTGTTTTCGTATGTAAAAAAGCTTTGAGAGACTCCTTTGCTTACAACATCATCAATTAATCTCTCACAAAATTAGTGCCTGTTTTCGATCATGACCTTGATTTT